GGGCTGCCTCAGGACGCCGCAAACGCCAAGAATTAAAGTGGACGAATCGCTCTTTTGTGCACTCAGGTTCCTCGTCTTGCTCGTCAAAAGGGAGGGGAAAAAAGGCTGGATGCTTGTACTTTGACGAGCGTTGTGGATCCCTGTTGGCGGGGGCGTGGCGCGGGACTCTATCCTTCCTTGAACCTGGACGTGGACGAGCGCGCATGCAGCGAATGGAAGAAGGAGTGTAGCGATGCGGCGGGCTGATTTGTTCGAACCCCTTCGTCGATGGACCCATCCATGGATCAATTTACCTTCCCCTCACAAATTGTGAGGGGAGGGGCCAGAGAGGTCAGAGTTTGTCGACTTGATTAGAGAGACGGAGTGATCCCTTGTGTACTCGAGATGGTGGATAGAGAAAAGGCTACGTACTCAAGTCAGTAAGCCACTTGATTGATCTATTCATTCGTGTGTAGCACTCGAGTATTACTCTTCTCAGCACTCGCGTTGGGGCAGTGAGTAATCATGGGGGCCATGATTCGCCATTTTGCGATCAAGGTTCCATAGCTGCCGTTGCCTTGTGCCCTTTGGGGCGTACATTCCAAATGTCGATTTGGGACTAATAGTTATATTTCCACACATGGTCAATGCATGTCGTTAATAGTGCGCTTGCATGATGGATATGAGCACATGTCGCCATCCACTCGTCGGCTATTGCATCGGCCGCCATGAGGTGCCTAGTTCGGCCCTTCAGAAAAATAAGAGACAAGTTTCCATCTCATGAATGCAAAAACTCCAAGCCTACCTGCAAAGGTCTAGAATGTTTGGCTGGCTGGCAGATGTGAAAAGTCCGGTCTCCAACAAGTCTCTCTGCTTTCCCGCCTCCCCGTTTCGGGATCGGCTTGGTGCTGGTTCGAAACATCCGGGGCGGGCGCTTTGACTCCCTTCCCACCTATCGCCGAAACAAATGCGACCTTTGAAACTTTGGGGCCGTAGGAAAAGGGTCCCCCATTTCCAATTTCACCCATCCCTTTCTGAATACCCGGAATCAATGGCTGGCTCTTTCTCTCAAGTCCCCGCCTAGATTGAGGGGGAGGCGAAAGCTTTGCAGCCACAGGGGAGGGTACTGGGCCCTGTCTGTCCAACCGACAGTCCGCGAATGGGGGAAATAGATGGCCCTTTTTCTTCGCTGAAGAAAATGCCCTCGCGGTACTGGACACTAGTAGAAGCCTCTCCGCCCAAATGTGCGGAAATCATTCCCCCTTCTTTTCACTTGTGTCCCACGGGCCGGGTACATCTACATTGACCTCCCACATTAGGAAGGCTCGACGAAGCCTTCTCCCGCACACCGCGCTGCACTGTCAAGAAGCATGGACCAGAGCGCGCGGTGCGCGCGCGCGTGTGTGTGCGTGCTCGGTACATCAACGTTGAACCGGAGAGAGGGTGTCATGGGCGTGCGTGTGCCACTCTGGTTCATCCAGTCCCAAAGCAGATCCGCCCACCAGGGCGTGGCTGAAAGACGGGATGCATTCACCGCAACATTGGGATCTCACTGCCTGTGTCCTTGAGGATGACCAACCCCCTTCCCCTCCAAAATAAGGCAATCATGCTGAGAGGATGAGAGAGAAGGGCGAAAAAGGACTCATTGTCTACAACGTAACAACCGACGGAATGAGCAGGGAAGAAACATTAGTCTTTCGTTTTTAGGAAGTTCGGAAAACACAACTTCCGTGCTTTGGTCTAGTCTATCTTGTGCTGTCCGATAGAATGGCGAATTTTAAGATTACGGATCGCCACGATGTTTGCACCTTATCGGCTTATCGCTGGCCTTATCGCCGCATCGCGCAGATGTGTATGAATCAATGGTTCTGTTTTGCTTCCCAACAATTCCACAGCGCAGGTTCCGCGTCCTGTTCTTTCGGCATGGCAAATGAAGAAGTAAAGGAGACGAGCAGTTCGCAAAGAGCAGTGTGCTATGCACGGTAATATCATGATGCTCACAACACGGGCGTATGCTTTTGCCCGTTTTTGTATTTTTGTTTCCTTGGGTTGCCCGCGATCTTCGATGGGCTGAGACATTGTGCGTTCAAACTCACACCCCCACCACGCCTCGGGCTTTCCTCTCAGCCTACACGCCGGAGCTGTGTCAAGCTATTTTCGCCACGCCACATGCGGAAGAAAAATCAAAAAATATTCGTCAAGCGCAACTGCCCCCACTCTGCACGATGTTGCGAGAATGGAGAACCTTTGCCCCATTTTTCTCTCCTCCACTATTCGAGCATGGACTATCGCTCGTCACTAGAACCAAAGTCTTCAATAGTAGTGAACACAAAACACAAAAAAAGAAGGGTTCGGGTCTCCCACCTAGAACCCAAGGCCGCAATCAGGTTCGAATCATACAAGGCATCAAGTGTGATGTGTGCCGGGGAGAGAGAAAGAGAGAAAGTAAGCCTGAAAGCAAGGGTGCGGGATGCAACACTTGGTGCCTGGTCTTGACATACTTGTAGTCCTTGGAGCCTGGTGAGCTGTCCACGAGAATTGGCTTTTTGTCGCTGCTACCTCGAGTCTTGTCAAAAGTCGCACAAAAGGTAACTTGTCGACGAGAACATACTGCGAGCCTGCTCTGGCCAGCATCTGGGGTTGGTCCTTGGATATATACGAGCCAATAAATGCGTTCAGCCCGCCACCAACCTGCTGCCTGAACTGCAGGTCAGTTCCCAATCGATGCAAGAGGCAGCCCTGCTGCTCCCTCTCCCTCTTTGCTCCCCGCTGCCTGTCAATGGCCGCCTTAGCGACAACGGCGTGGGCGATGCAGCAGCCACTTTTTTTGTTCATGTCGCACACTCACCGCGTTGTACAACAGGCAAGCAATAAAGCACCAGGACCCAAAGAAAAGAAAAGGCCCCGAAAACGCTCGGCAGGCAGGCTCCACCGATACTTCCATGAACACAACGTGCGGGTTTCGGGCTGTCTTAACTTCGCATTGACGATGGATCCAAAGTCTCAGTCTTTCGTCTTTTATGAGAGGGGAAAAGAAAAAGAAAGGGCTGGCTTTTACCGCTATCTCGTAGGTTCCGTTCTCCCGATGCCGAGGGTTGGACCAAGCTCCGGTGTGGGCTGGCTACGGGCTGGCCTGTGCGAAAGGAGGGGGAGGGGATGATTCTTCCCCGCCGTATATTTGCTAGCCTTATCGAATGACTCTTATTTCGGGTTGCTATCCACTATTTCATACATGTGGTCCTTTGTTTATTATCGATAGTTCCAAGGTTGCTTGCGGGGGCAAGAGGGGAGTGCTTGAGCTCTACCCCCGCCTTCTCATCCTCGAAAGAACGCGATGAATCATTACCGAAACTGCTTGATGCTTCCTGCTGCTTAAACTTGAGAGTATTCTCGTGCGTCCCGCTTCACCGCAAGAGAAGCAGAAGGCATATTTCGGATCCAGCTTTCGCCATCCATTGGGAAAACCCCCTTCCCCCGCCATCCTCGTCTCCCGTATTAATTCTAATTTTGCTTCACTCGCCTCCCTTCGGCCAACATTCGTGGTCCGAGAAGCCCTGTTCGCCCCCTCCAAGGACTTTGATGTACCCTGGACCAGATCGATCAAGCAACGCGGCCTGTGAGTACCGTTACAAGCACCCCGCGAGAGAGAGAGCACCGACAGCCCCACTACACCCCACCATACCCCCTCCCCTTTTCGCTCAGCTGCCCTGGCCGGCCTCGTTCCTTCCCTTTTCTGATTTGCCCTCCGTGGTTGCTGCCACAGGTGTGTCGTTGGTACCCCGGTACCATCTTCGGAGGGTCAGACTCAGAGATTGAGCCAGCATATTCCACATGCACACTGTCCGAGGTCCTGTATTCTCGCCCACCATCACTTGGCACAGAGACCCGAGCCCTTGGCATTTGCCCTTCTTATTTCGAATCTCCACACACACCCCTATTCCTCACCCCTCCCTCCCTCCCCCATTGTCCTTGCAAAGCAGCGAAGCACCTGGACACGTCGAGTTGCCCTGCACAAACAAGGATTCCCGTCTTTTTCGTCCCGCTTGCCACCCCAAACCCAGAAGGCCGGCCAGCCCAAATCCCACAACTGAATCGCTTGAGCTCCCTCAACTCCGCCCCCTTCCAACGTTACGCCCTCTCTTGCCCCCAGCCTCAGCACGCCCCCTTCCCTCTTCGAAATATCTACAAAAAGACCCAGGACCCCCGGCGCCGACCAGAACCCTCCCTTTTGGTTTCAGAAACAAAAACCCACGAGCTTTCCATCTTCTTTTCAACGAACGACACGACTTTCAAGAAACATCTCAACTAATACCTAACCATCCCATCTTAGCGCCTCTCGATTGTAACCTGCGAAATACGCTCCAACGAAAGTAAGGAGTTTTGTGCACCAAGTCATCAAGCTTGACGCCTCTTCCCGTTTAGGATCTGCCTCGAACCTAGGTCCCGAAAGCATCCCGCTCATCCCTTTTGTACCGACAACCCTTTGCCACCCGACACTCCACACACCCATCCACGGAGTCAAGCCCGCCTCCCTTGACTCAAGAACCTAAAAGGAATAGGAAAGAAAAGATTTTTCTTTCTAGTGCCTTTCTCCTCATCCTCTCGACGGAACATAAATCGGCCCTCCCCGGCTCTCCGGTCACCACCCGCGCTTCCTTCACACCTCACCTAACTAATCCTTTCATCATCGACCGTGGAGGTTTTCCTTTCCTTCAGATCCGTAGAGATACCCCTTCACCTATCCGTCATCAACGCAACGGAACACACCGACCCCTTTCCCGCAAATTCGATTAGAACCTAACCCGGCGGGCGGTATCCTACTATTCAGGCTCACCCGGAAACGACACATTAAACGCGTTGCCCCTTGGTTGAGATCTGCCATCTGCGACGTCGCACAACATCACGCGCTGCACTAAGACTGATCACGACGCACGTCCTCGTTTAAACACACACAGAACAAATATCCCCTTGAGTGCGACATCGAGATTCCATCCTATTTTCACACAACATTGACCGCAATCATGGCTTCACCATCCTCCGACCATCAATACTATCTAGGCGCTGGCAAGGAGATGAGCCCCGAATCCTACCAATGGATTGAACCGATATCTATCGACGACGACGACCTCATGTTCGGTGGCAAGTCCCTTAGCACCTGGTACGAAGAGGATAGGAGCCGCCTCAGCGGTGTGTATTCCGACGAGGAGGAGACGAGGGGCCGCCAAAGGGTACGAGTCTATCCCGATTCCCAGAATTGAGGCACATGGATGAAACCTTTGGGGCTAACCTTTCTTTTTTTCCTGCAGCACCGCACGCATTATGCCTCCAGCCATGGAAGCTCCAAGACCCAGCAGTCCTCGAAGAAGAATTGAAAGCAAACCCCGTCGAACACGAACGCCGGTCTGAAGCACTGAAAATGTTCTCCTTACCGCGCCAACAGATTCATAAGCGGCATTGTCGTCTCTTGACCCGTTGTGCTTCCTCCTTCGCCTCACCGAGCTTGGACGCCCTCAAGCAGGGCTCGCAGCTCCTTTTTTCATCTCATTTCTGCAATAGTCGTGGCGTTTACTATTGTGCGCACCCTTCTAATTGCTCGACACACCCCCGCCTGTATCATTCCTCCCGCACCCTTGAGAAACAGAACCACATACAACTTTGACGTACGCACGTCGAACATGACTATACCCGCCTTTACATACCACGCTGGAAGATAGTGGTTTAGGATACTGGCATCCTTTGTTTTCCCTTTGCTTGCATCGGTTGCATCCGGCTCATACAAACGATAGACGGATTTCCCCATTCCCCGGGTGGATAATGCCCTAGAAGGCTTTCATCATGGGCTCATCTTAGTACCTTTCTCTTGCCCGCCCTTGGCGTTTTAACGATTGTTTTTTTTTTTCCTCTTCTCATCTTTTCTTTTTGCATCTTGCGCGATGTGCGCAGGGCCGTCACCTCTATAGGGACGATGAAATCACATCTCTGTCTGGCACTTTGCCATTGCATACACTTGGGGTCGGTTTGTTTTCAGTTTCATGTCTTCCTGCTTTCACATGGGGCGCGCTTGGCAAGAGAAAAGCAATAATTCTTGTGTTTTCTTCATTTCCCATATGCATCAAAGCCTGGCTGACGGCAGGTGGAGAGGAACGAAGTGCAGAAGAGGAACAAGAAGGTAGTAGGATGGAGAGAGGATGGAAGATCATTCGCGGCTGGACCTTGGAATTTTGAAGAGTGGAAGTCACCGCCCTCAGCGAGGGCGAGTGAAACTTTTTTGAGAGAGATTGAATGAACGAAGAACATGCTCACTTCACTTTTTGCTTTGCCTCACTTTTTGCCTTGCCTATCTCGATGTTTTCCTTGTATGCTTTGGTTCCTCGTCTCTTGGCCACTCGGCCTACATTGCTTCCACTGCGTGTTTTCAGCTTGCATCGCACGTCTGTTGGCTTTGGATAGCCACGCGTGCGACCCCGCGGTCTATGTGCTCCTTGCCGCAACAATCTCTGCTCATTCTTGGGGACGTTCCCTATTCTTGATACCCGTATGATACCCGCTTGGTTCGGTTCATTGACTAGTGGCCCCGCAGCCTCGAGTCTCTTCGTTGACGGGGGCGCTTGTCGTGCGAGAGTGTGTGCATGCATTGACGTGTGGAGAGGTAATACTGGGTAGAAGAGAGGCTTGGCCCAAGGCGACGAGGGAAGATTGCTTATTTCTGAACACTCATCTCATTCCATAGCTCAATCAAATTCATATACTGATTTTCCAAAAACAAGACGTCTCAAGTGCACACATGCAGTGAATCGGATACTTGCTTCCCGTTTTGCCAATGGGCATTGCATTCTCTTGCTAGTCATTGTCTCGGATGTCCGACCGAAAGAAGGCGACTTGGGGCTAGGGCACGGCAACGGAGTCTAGGATCCTTCGAGAACCTTGAAATGGATGAAGAAGAGAAAACAGAATTTCATGTACAGGTCTTGTTGTCAGGGCTCTTCCTCGTGAGCTCCTCGCCATGTGAAAATCGCTTGCCGTATTTTCTTTTTTCTTAGATTAGTAGATACGCATCAATGGCCTAGGACTATCACGATGAGGGGGACAGAACTGTATCTGGAGCCTACATGTAGGAACTACTAATAACATTTAAAGGAAGACCTTGTCTTAGCAGGACCCATCCTCGTCCCATCAAAGCATTTTTCTTCTTCGAAAAGTAGGCAAAAGAGAAGACCATAAAAAGGACGGAAAATCGCAACGCTCTTTTGCGGCGGCTTGCTCTCGCGATGTGTTGTTCTAAAGAGCAGTTATCAAAGAAGAGTAGGCAGTATCATAAGGCGGAGAGCTTTTGCAGCGGGATGGGGAGGTTGCTTGAAGGGCGGAAGCGCGGGGAGGAGAGAACACGAGGAGGACAACGCCGGAGCGCATATTGTTCGGTATGAGTGGGGTTTCTTGCCCCGAGGCTAGCTCACCTCCGTAGCTCCCGCTTGTCGGAGCAGCACAAGCCACAGCGAGGGACGGTTGGGCGCCCCCTCGCCCGCAGGAAGTCGTATCTGGACACACAGTCTCCTCTCGCGTTTTCCCCACTGCGTCCGTCCGGGAGGTTTTTGATATGCCGTTCTGTAAGTGGTTTTTTATTTAAAAAAAAAGTTCCTGCCCGCTGTTCCCTTCTTACTTCTCCTCCCAAAAGGTCCTCCGCCATTTACGTTGCTGGTGGTGAAATCGGGAGAAGTAAACCTATGAGCAAAGCGGGACAAAGAGGTGGGAAAGAGACCAGCTGGTCCCCCTTCCCTTCCCACGTGGGGCTTGACTCCTCACAATATGTGCGGGAGAAAGGAGGGAAGGAGGTTTTGTTTTCTTTTTTTTTTTTCCCTTTACTGTGCCGTCGACAGACTGTAGTTTTTTCTTCTTCTTTTTCCCTCTCTTGTCTGATTGCGAGAGGGCTTCTTGAGAAATTGGCATATCTCGCGCGATAAAGGCGGAATCGGGTCACGGGTGAGGGTTGGCTCGGCAGATGGACGGGTTTTCAATCACCTGTATAGTGTCTGCATGCAAGGCACATCTTTGAATGGGTGTGAAGGGACATGCTCGAGAGTGAACCCTTGAGATAAGGGCCTCTGCACTTTTTCTCACTTTTGTGTGTCCTCGGGAGGGGGTAAGGAGGTGGGGAGCGGATGGAGACGTGTGACACATGTTGAGGGGGAGGGGAGGGGAAGCGAAGAGTCGTTGATGCCTTGCGGCGCTGACGAGCTTGAACGACGATTCGACTTTGCGGGGGACCTCGTGAGATTAGGGCTGGACTTGGGGAGGTTCGTCTTTGAGGGGTTTCACGTGTATATTTTTATCCGTTATTTGTGAGAGTTTCTTCACATGCGTGCCGCGATGGTGAGTCTCGATAGTGCGTACATCTTGTCTCGACGGCGCGCTTGGTCTCAGGCCTATTGAGCGCTAGAGACGTTAAGGAGCGGGAGGGAGGGCGGTATCTTGGAGTCTTGCACGGAAATGCTCGGGGTCTGCGGGACCAAAAAGAACATTGAAGTTACATATTCGGAGAGGACATAAACAATGTCGTTGCAAACATTCCGAGAGCCGCCCGCCTTACGAATGCATCGGATGTGCCACTCACCGCGGGTTGTGTGCGTGTGTGTAATTTTTTTCCTTTCCCTTTCCTTCATACCGACCGATCCCCGAAAAAGGGCCAGGGAGCGTTGAACAGGCGGCGCGGAGATGCGGGTTCGCGGAAGATGGGCGTTCGGCGGGGTAGAGAGACAGCGAGGCGCGGGGTGGGGAGAGAGAGGGCCGGGTTGACAATGAACCAGCTCTCAGGCCACTTGTGCAGAGAGAGAGTCTAGACCCCGACGGAACCGTAGTGTAAAACAGGAAAAGAGAACAAGGCAACTCTGGCTTGTGTATGTTTTTTTGCTTTAAGTCTTCATCTTTTTAAGCTTCTGCCAGTCAAAGCCGGAATCTGAATCACCGCCTCGCTTCCGAGACGCCCGGATGGGCAGATGACAAGGTGGAAAGCAGGCAATAACACGACCAAGTATCGTGTCCACGCCTCACAAATCACCACCACACAACAATACCTTCTTATCTCTGTCTCCTGAATGTATCCTACTGTTGCTCTTTTTCCTCTAGGGTTTGTTTTCTTCCTTTTTCTCCTCCTACAGGTGATATCCTCGCTTCTGATCTGCGTTTCGAGGCGGGGACCCAGATTCGGCAAGGCGTCGTCGAACGCCACAAGTCATCTGGCGATCTCTTTGGACGTGGGAGGGAGGGCTCGCATGACCTGAGGTTCATGGTCGCTGTCACCAAGGGGCCACAGAAAGACGGTCTGACGCGCGACAGGAGCTAAAAGGAGGCAAGGAGGCCACACGCCAAGAAAAGAAACTTTTTTTCTTTTCTTAGTTAGTTTTCCTTTCTTTTTTCTTTTACCCTCTTTGGGCTCCCTTGGGGAACTTTCCGCCGCCTGTGTCGAAGAGGTTAGGAGCTGATGGTTGGGCCCCCATCACATTTTCTGGGTGGAGAAAAGCCAAAATGAAGCACACGGCCACGAGGAAGGGGAAAACGGAAGACGGCGGAAAATTGTAGTAAACAAGGGAGGAAACCCAAAAAAGAAAACTAAACAAGCATCGACGCGTGGCCAATTTCTTTTGTGAACAAAACAGAGAAAAATAATAGAGAAACGTTGAAACCGAGGCCAGCACCTGGTGGTACGACGTAGCTGTTATGTCATTGTTTGATCCCGCCGCCCTTTCATCACCAATACCCCAGAACGCCACGGAGGGAGGAGAAAACCAAGGCTGAAGAGGCGGATGGAGACGCATTCCCGCGGAACGAGGATGATCGCTGCAGCGTGCAGAACGTTGAAGACAACAAAGAGATTACGCCGCGATGCAATACGTAAAACTAACTACTTGTAATATAGCACTCCGACATTACCCTTGGCTATAGGATCCCATATTCTAGGGCTGTCCGATGCGTCCTCTGCTCGGATGCCCGGCAGTGGCCCTTTTTCTTTTACCTCTCTTTTCTTATCTGTTTTCCCATCGCCTGAGTAAATACAGAGAGTCAACGCTCGCTGCTCGTCGCCATGGGCAAGCTCGTTAGTCTTCGCGGGATACATGGGAAGACATCCAGATATCAATCACGCACTTGTCTTGTTGTTTCACTCCCTTTTATTATCTTTTTTCATCGTTTCGTTTCGTTCATCTACAAGTAACATACCTTTTTCCCGTCGCCGTAGTCTTCCCGCTCTCCGGGTTTGAACAAAAGGGAGGGTTGCAAAACGGCAAAGAAACAAATCCTCGGACGACGTCATGCGGCTTTCTTGTCTTCCCACCCACACTTCTTTCCCTCCCCCCCTCCCTCCGGCCCCCATCCTCACTAGAGTAAACCCTCAAAGTGTTCGTGCTTCCCCTGTTTTTCCCTGTGCTTCCCCCTCCCTCCCCCGGCCGGTAGATCGTAGGTCTTGCGTGTAATCGTGCAGCTCCGGCTGGTGCACTTGACGCCCGCGGACACTCGTCATCCAGGAGCGGAAAAGGGAGAAAAAAAGAAAAACAAAGAGGTATCGATGTACGCAAGGGAAAAAGAAAAAGGGGAAAACGACCACAACACGACGTAAGACAAGAGTAGAAAGCGTAACCGGGGAAAAAAAGAAAAGAAAGAAAAAAACAAAATCCTCACCAGAAAACCCTGCATTTGGTCCTCCCCACCCCCCTTTCCATTCATTCTCCATGAGCCGAGTCGGTGCACCCTGGACATCATGGTCATGTAGATGATGTATCATTGGCGGTATCAGCCCAAAGCCTCTCACCCCCGGGGACTATTCTGTTTTATATTCATACCTTATCCCGTTGGGCTCGCCTCTGAGCCATCATCACTATTCTCTTCTCTTAATCTTGCCAACTTTTTTTTCCTTCTCTGACTCGACTCCGTCTTCCCGGCTGTACGGTTAACCCTCTCCGGCCCCCAAGCATATCCATTCTATTGGACCGAAACTCCAGAAGAGAATCCTTATTCTTGCTTTCTACACACTCGCTCCATACATGCCCGGCCTAGTCCTCGTGTCAGTGGACATCAAGTAGCTGCGGAGACTCGAAAGAAAAAAGCCACTTCGAGATACATCATTTTCATCTATATTTTTATTTAAACAACGTCCTACAAAATGACCCGCCCCGATTCTCAAGACCCCACCCTATGCCCCACCCTCTCGTCCTCGTCGACGTCGTCCCTGGAACCCTCTAGTGACAGCATCGCCGACTGGATCGCCCCGGCAGCACCCGTCGTCCATCCTCGCGCCCTACGGGACCAGGATGCCGCTGCCGCTGCCATGGTCGCCGGTGGCGCGAGCGATTCGGCAGAGGAGAGTAGCGGGTACGAGGAAGAAGACGTCGCGGTCCCACGAACGAGAGCGAGGATCCACCGGCCGTCTTCAACATACAAGAGGATCTCGTCAGCCACGGATGACGAATCGACGCGGGATCTTTGGCTGAGGATGGTTGAGCTTCAGCAACGCTTCGGGTGCTATACCTCTGCGAGAATGAGAGCTGCGGCATCTTCAGACGGCGCTGTGGACTTTATGCGTATGATCTATCGTTTTCCTCATTCCCCATCCGATTTCCATGTCCATTCCTCCGAGTTAAAGACAGGTAGACTGACTGATGTAAAATACAGCATCTCGGGCGTGCCTAGATCTCTTGAACGAGAGTCTCACCACTGTCGACCTACCACCGGAAGGGTGGAGGATACTTGGAAAGTTTGTAACCGACGAGCCCGAGGACAGCCCGAGGATACGCAAGAACCGATGGAGGCTTTGGAAGAGCTAGATGCCGGCGCAGTGTCTCCAGAGAAGATGAAAAAAGCCCGAGGCAGATTGGAAGGTGGGGAGAGGACCCTTGGCTCGGATGGCGCGATACCCCGTCGGCGCAAAGTTGACTTGATTTTATTTTGTCCCGTTTCTTCTTCTCTTTCCTCCCTTTTGTTCCGAAGCGGGCCGGGTCCGCGGTGAGTGTCAGTCCTTTCTACCGTGTTTGAGCCGGCGTTGTCGTGGTGTATCCGCATCTGGTTTGTTCATCCGGCGTACTTTGTTTTTAAGGTCTTTTTCCTTTCCGCCCACCCAGGTTGTCCTGCATCTGTACCTCTCTCGATACGATATCATACCAGACGATGACATAGAATGCCATTTTACCTTTATTTATCCTTGATCGATGGCGCATGACCTTGTTGTCCCGCGGTCCGTATAGGCGGCATGAAGCGTGAATATAGCCATTGTAGACTGTGAGGTGAGAGCGCCTTGGAGGGCAAGAAAGCGTGGTGTCGAAACCATTGTCAAGGCACACCGCGGTAGGGGGCAGCCCTGGAGCAACATCAGCCCTTCTTCACATTCTCCATCCACTCCTTCGTCCCCTTGACGCCCTCATGCGCCTTCCTGAACAAACCCCTCTCCCACTCATCCAAGCCCCGCAGAAACTCCTCGCCCGAAGCCGCCACCGGCATATCGTCGCCCACCTTGCTCGCGTGCAGCCCGACCTCGGCAGCGCGCGCCACAAACGTCTTGCGCAGGACGGACGCGAGGTCCTTGTCCTCGAACAAGTCGAGCATGCGCGTGCCGAGGCCGTAAAGTGGGCGCTCTGGTCGCGGAGGGCGACGGAGCGGGGTCGGCCTTGAGGGCTTGCACGACCTCGTTGGACAAGGCCGGGGGCGGGCTCATGGTCACGGGGGCTTGGCGTCCTCGCCGGCGGAGGAGATGGCGAGCATCTCGGCGAGCCAGAGGGGCAGGGAGAGGGTGGTGCCGGCTTTGAGGGGCTGGGTGGGGTTGTTGTCGAGGTGGCCGAGGTCGGGGATGTCGAGCTCGAATTTGCAGGGGACTTTCTGTGGGAAGGGAAAAAGGGTTGCGCGCGTGTTAGTTCTGGTTTTTGTTTTCTTTGGCTTGCAAGGGCCGGTTTTGGGGAGGGGGTTGAATTTTACTTCTGCCTCTGTGAGGATCGCATCTACGTCGTAGTAGGACATTGTGTGCGTTTGGATATATGGGGATTTTGAACGAGTGTGGTGGAAGGGAAAGGTGGTTTAGAGGAAGTAGGTTGGTTGGTGCTGGGATGCGTTCAGACGCGAGATCGTGTGTGTCCCGCTCTGTGTGCTTTGATTGCGGGGTGTGTGGAGACTTGATGGAATATGTAGAACTATGTCAAGCCTCTCAACCTCAAGCTTGCGCCACATGGCTCCCCATTGTCCCGCCACACAGCTGGACAGGGTAAAAGGAACCTGGGCAATTACCGCGGAGACGCCCCTAGGGCCGTCCGGGTGTTACCGTGCAAGCTTGTCTAACGGTGAAGTCATTCCCCGAGGAAGGATTATGAAAGCTTTCCCCCAAAGACTACGAAATATTCTGTACCGTGACGACATTTTGCCCACCTTCTCCTCCCCCGGTCCCCAAAATTATCATCAGTTGATTGTCAACAAACCCGCGATCAATCTTTATATTTCCCCATCGCTCAATTCGTCAATTGAGCCTATAGTTTCTGCTTTCTACTCTTCAATTGATACCTCGGTAAGCCATCTCGCTCATTTTCCTTTCCGTCTTCGTCGAAGCTCTAAATCCCACTAACATTTTTCTTCTCCCTTGACAGCTTCCTGAAAGATGTCTTCTTCTCTCCTCCGAAGCACCCCCGCGCTCCGCGCTGCTCTCAGGCTGGCGCCGCCAGGCCCGTCGCCGCTCTTTCCAGCACCAGCTTCGTCCGTGGAAAGGCGACTCTTCCCGACCTTCCATGTTAGTATTGTTCCACCGGTCAATCCACTTGCTTTCCCTCTTCCCGCGCCCTCCGAGTAGCTCCGAGCAGGTCCGACTCCGATATGTCAGCAGAACTTTGGGGAGGTTTTTCGGTCAATCGGAGCAGCTATACAACGACGGTGACCTATGGACTGGGATCCTCTTGCCCCCTCGAGCTCTCGAGGGAACTCTACGCCGGCGCTGGGCGCTATTACGCTGCGATGCATGGCCTGCTAACCAGCCCTGTTGCTTCCCTTCATAACAGATGACTACAATGCGCTCGAGCCCTACATCAGCGCCAAGATCATGGAGCTTCACCACTCCAAGCACCACCAGACCTACGTCAACGGTTTCAACACCGCTCTCCAGACCGTCGCCGAGGCCGAGGCCGCCGGTGACTTGACCAAGGCCGCGTCCCAGGCCCCGCTCATCAACTTCCACGGCGGTGGTCACCTGAACCACTCTCTGTTCTGGGAGAACCTCGCCCCCAGCAGCCGCGATGGCGGTGGCGAGCCTGCCGGCTCTCTCAAGGTGCGTTCCGTTTCTGACAGATTCCTTATCGCAGTCACGAAAGATTTCGTGACATGGGCCAATGCCACTCTGAGTATCGTGTACAAGCTCACAAACTGACCTTTCTTTCTCGCAGTCCGCCATTGGTGAGGACTTTGGCTCCTTCGATGCCCTCCGCAAGGAGGTCAACACTGCCCTTGCCGGCATCCAGGGCAGCGGCTGGGCCTGGCTTGTCAAGGACAAGACCACGGGTACCCTGAGCGTTGTTACCCGCGCCAACCAGGATCCTGTCACTGGCAACCTCATCCCCCTCCTCGGCATCGATGCTTGGGAGCACGCCTACTACCTCCAGTACGAGAACCGCAAGGTTGAGTACTTTGATGCCATCTGGAATGTCATCAACTGGAAGACTGTTGCCAAGAGGTTCGAGAACTAAAGGGGAATGGTATATGATCATAGGAAAAGCTAGTGTACGTTAAGCGCCATGAATGCGGGTTACCTTCTTGGATGGAGGATGTAGACGCGATATAAGCATCTACACCATGTGAAGATGAATATACATCAATCCAAGGATGCAGTTGACATTTTCTTGTCTTGGTGTTCTCGTAATGATCGTGTAGTGCTCCAGAGATCGGAGACCACGTAAAGAGCCAGGAGATGCCGATGATTATCCTCCCCTCCCTCACACCATCCGGCACATCCGCGTGCTTTCACATTGACGCATCTATTTCATCGAATAGCACCCTATGTTCTCCTTTGAGGAATGAAGCTCCGTGTCTTTGCACATCCGGTGCCTATCGAGGTATTTTGAGAATCGATCCTCGAATTGGTTCCCCTTTTAACCCATTTAGATTAGATGGTATTTTGTATGGAAAAGAGTGGACAAATGGCTCATCGACTCAATCAGGTCCGCCAAGGAAGTCGCGAGTGTTATCCAATTGAGTCATAAAGGGAAATTTAGTAGGTTCCTGGAGGAGCATGGAAGAAAGAAAAAGACAAAACTCCCTGTCACAAACCCAATTGACAATTTTGAACCGCTTTCGGTGGTGGAAGCCGAACATGGGTTCAAGATGGGGAAGCAGCGGAAGCGGAAGCCGGCGCCGAGAGCAGGGGACGGGAAAGGTTGAGTTGTAGTTGAGGGTGGATGACTCAGAGCACAGTTACGTCGCTTCACTTCACCCGAATCCTGCTATCATAGGTCCAACAAAAAAAAGTTATGGGGGACACAGTCACAGGCTGGAAAAAGTAAGGGAAAAAAAGTTCGTAGAGCGGCAGAAAGATAACAAAAATTCTCCACATTAAAACCTCTATCTAGTCTAGCATTCCCCCTCACCCTCGACACTACGCAATATAACATATAACCTCTCAATTGGAATCCCCTCGTTCCTCTCTCTATTCCTAATCCCATAGCGCATCCCGATCTCTGCTCGAATCGCACCCAATTGCGCATTCTCTCTTTCCCTTCCTTTCTACACCCCCTTATCTTTCGCAAGATGGCTCCCGAGAAGCCTCAGGGCAACATGCTGTGGGGAGGCCGCTTCACAGGTACGTCAACGGTCGCAAAACTTCCAAGCATGTGGTTGAATGGAAAATAAAGACTCGGCGCATGTGAATATATATCCCTTGAGACCGGACTCCCGCTAACCTCTCTTTTCCTCTTACAACCCACAGGCGGCCTCGATCCCCTCATGGTGGCGTACAACGAATCCATCTACTTCGACCGCGTGCTGCACAAGCAGGATATCCTCGGCAGCATCGCCTTTGCCCGCGCCAACGCCAAGTCCGGCATCATCTCCCGCGCCGAGTTCGAGAAGCTTGAGCAGGGCCTCCTCGCCGTGGAGAAGGAGTGGGACGAGGGCACCTTTGTCATCAAGCCCGGCGTGGACGAGGACATTCACACTGCCAACGAGCGCAGGCTAGGCGAGATCATTGGCAAGGACGTGGCGGGAAGCTGCACACCGGCCGCAGCAGGAACGAGCAGATCGCCACCGACATGCGCATGTGGCTGCGGGACGAGCTCCGGAAGCTCGAGGATTTCCTCGTCAGCTTCCTCCTCGTCATCGCTAAGAGGGCGGAGCAGGAGGTCGAGTACGTCATGCCCGGCTACACCCACCTGCAGAGGGCCCAGCCTATCCGGTGGAGCCACTGGATGCTGTCGTACGGCTTCCAGTTTGCCAGTGATCTCGAGCGGTTGCGGGAGGTCATCAAGAGGGTTAACCGTAGCCCCCTGGGCCTGGGCGCCCTCGCTGGTAACCCGTTTAATATCGACCGCGAGATGATGGCTGAGGAGCTCGGCTTCGAGGGCTTGATCTGGAACTCGATGGGCGGCGTCGCGGACCGGGACTTTGTCGCCGAGACCATGCAGTGGGGCTCCATGCTCATGCTTCACATCTCGCGCTGGGCCGAGGACCTCATCATCTACTCTACCGGCGAGTTCGGCTTCGTCCGCCTGTCCGACGCCTACTCCACCGGTAGCTCCCTCATGCCCCAGAAGAAGAACCCGGACAGCCTCGAGCTCCTGCGCGGCAAGGCTGGTCGTACCATGGGCCACGTCGTGGGCCTCATGACCACGCTCAAGGGCCTGCCCAGTACCTACAACAAGGACCTCCAGGAGAGCGTCGAGCCCATGCTCGACCACATCAAGACGGTGGGCGACAGCATCCAGATCGCCGAGGGCGTCCTCGCCACCCTCGCCGTCCAGCCTGACAAGATGCGTGCGGCCCTCGACCCCTTCATGCTCGCCACCGACCTCGCCGACTACCTCGTCCGCAAAGGCGTGCCCTTCCGTGAGACCCACCACATCTCGGGTCGCTGCGTCGCGCTCTCCGAGCAGACGGGTATTCCGATGAACGAGTTCACCTATGACCAGTTCCGGGGTATCGATGAGAGGTTCGGCCAGGATATCAAGGGCGTTTTTAGCTACGAGAAGAGCGTCGAGATGAGGGCGGCTAAGGGCGGCACGAGCACGTCGAGCGTGCTTGAGCAGGTCAAGGTGCTCAAGGCCATGCTCGGGTGAGAGAGAGGCGGGAGACGGACTCGGAGAGCGTGTGCGAGGCAGACGAAGGAAAGGGGGAAATGGGTTGTTCGAGGTTGTGGCCCTCCTGTTTGCCATTTCTTGGGAAAAGGGGATTGGCACTGGCGAGGACTGTTTGATATACAGAGGAGTGGATTGGCTTTTTGGTTTTGGTTTTTGCTACTATAGAGATTATGACGGACGGATGGGACGGGATATCTGAAGGGCCCTTGCGAAACGAATTAGAGAAAGACAGAATTTAGGGTATAAAACAAACATATTTCTACTCTTTTTGCTTCTTTCAAAGAACACTGGAACAAAAGCAGACAGCCTTGGGGTTGAAATACTGTCTCTTTTCCCTTGCGGAAAGATCCGCAGGCGCACGCGCTCTTATAGCTTAGTGGAGCTTCGATGCACACAGCGGTGACATTGAAGCTTAAAGGAACTCTAGACATGACGCTAAGCTAATGAGGCCTGCCATCGCCCATGGGAGTTTTGTACTTCGCTGGATACAAAGTAGGAGACGTGGACTATCATGGATTTGAGATAGGATAACTCCTTCATAGCCATTCCTAGCAGCCTAGCTAAGTGGTGCCCAGCCCCCATCATCCTTCATATCAGGTTCAACCCCACTAGTAGCAAGAAGCAGCTCCACAACTCCTTCATAGCTATTCTCAGCAGCCCAGCTAAGTGGTATCTTGCCCTTATCATCCTTTATATCAGGTTCAACCCCACTAGTAGTAAGAAGCAGCTTTATAACTCCTTTATAGCTATTCCTAGTAGCCTAGCGAGGTGGTATCCGGCCCCTATACCTTTTATAGCGATTCCTAGCAGCCTGGCTAAGTAATCTCCTAGGGTTAATTTCTTCATAGCAATTCATAGTAGCCCAGCTAAGTGGTGCCTGGGCCCTATCATCTTTCATATCAGGTTCAACCCCACTAGTAATAAGAAGCAGCTTGACAACTCCTTCACAGCTATTCCTAGCAGCCCAGCTAAGTGGTGTCTGGCCTGTATCATCCTTCATATCAGGTTCAACCCCACTTGTACCAAGAAGCAGCTTCACAACTCCTTCATGGCCATTCCCAGCAGCCCAGCTAAGTGGTGTCCGGTCCCAACTATCCTTCATATCAGGTTTAACCCCACTTATACCAAGAAGCAGCTTCACAACTCCTTTATGGCCTTTCTCAGCAGCCCAGCTAAGTGGTGTCTGGCCCCTATTATCCTTCATATCAGGTTCAACCCCACTAGTAGCAAGAAGCAGCTTTATAACTCCTTCATGGCCATTCTCAGCAGCCCAGCTAAGTGGTGTCCGGCCCCTATTATCCTTCATATCAGGTTCAACCCCACTTATACTAAGAAGCAGCTTCACAACTCCTTCATGGCCATTCTCAGCAGCCCAGCTAAGTGGTGTCTGGCCCCTATTATCCTTCATATCAGGTTCAACCCCACTAGTACTAAGAAGCAGCTTCACAACTCCTTCATAGCCTTCCCTAGCAGCCCAGATAAGTGGTGTCTGGCCCCATTTATCATCCTTCATATCAGGTTCAACCCCACTAGTGGCAAGAAGCAGCTTCACAACTCCTTCATGGCCTTTCCCAGCAGCCCAGCTAAGTGGTGTCTGGCCCCATTTATCATCCTTCATATCAGGTTTAACCCTACTAGTAGCAAGAAGCAGCTTCACAACTCCTTCATAGCCTTCCCTAGTAGCCCAGATAAGTGGTGTCTGGCCCCCATCATCCTTCATATTAGGTTCAACCCTACTAGTAGCAAGAAGCAGCTTCACAACTCCTTCATAGCCTTCCCTAGCAGCCCAGATAAGTGGTGTCTGGCCCCATTTATCATCCTTCATATTAGGTTCAACCCTACTAGTAGCAAGAAGCAGCTTCACAACTCCTTCATGGCCAATCTTAGCAGCCCAGATAAGTGGTGTCTGGCCCCCATCATCCTTCATATTAGGTTCAACCCCACTAGTGGCAAGAAGCAGCTTCACAACTCCTTCATGGCCTTTACCAGCAGCCCAGCTAAGTGGTGTCCGGCCCCATTCACCATCCTTCATATCAGGTTCAACCCCACTTATACCAAGAAGCAGCTTCACAACTCCTTCATAGCCTTCCCTAGTAGCCCAGATAAGTGGTGTCTGGCCCCCAGCATCCTTCATATTAGGTTCAACCCCACTAGTAGCAAGAAGCAGCTTCACAACTCCTTCATAGCCTTCCCTAGCAGCCCAGATAAGTGGTGTCTGGCCCCATTTATCATCCTTCATATTAGGTTCAACCCCGCTAGTACCAAGAAGCAGCTTCACAACTCCTTCATGGCCATTCCTAGCAGCCCAGCTAAGTGGTGTCTGGCCCCATTTATCATCCTTCATATCAGGTTCAACCCCACTTATACCAAGAAGCAGCTTCACAACTCCTTCATGGCCATTCCTAGCAGCCCAGCTAAGTGGTGTCTGGCCCCATTCACTATCCTTCATATCAGGTTCAACCCCACTTATACCAAGAAGCAGCTTCACAACTCCTTCATGCCCATTCTCAGCAGCCCAGCTAAGTGGTATCTGGCCTTCATCATCCTTCATATCAGGTTCAACACCACTTATACTAAGAAGTAGCTTTACAACTCCTTCATGGCCATTCCCAGCAGCCCAGCTAAGTGGTGTCTGGCCTATATCATCCTTCATATCAGGTTCAACCCCACTTGTACCAAGAAGCAGCTTCACAACTCCTTCATGGCCATTCTCAGCAGCCCAGCTAAGTGGTGTCTGGCCTTCATCATCCTTCATATCAGGTTCAACCCCACTTGTACCAAGAAGCAGCTTCACAACTCCTTCATGGCCATTCTCAGCAGCCCAGCTAAGTGGTGTCCGGCCCCCACCATCCTTTATATCAGGTTCAACCCCATCAACCCCACTTTCAGGAAGAAGCATCTTAGTAATAGCCTCAAGCCCGAAGAGCGCTGCTAGATGGACTGGTGTTACCCCCTTTGGGAAGGTTTGGGTGTAGCGTGGATATCGAAAATTGTTTCGCGTCATGAGAACTTGTACTTCGGCATCGAGGCGTCTCTTCCTCCTGAGTAGGTTTAGCGCCAGTTCTATGACCTCTTCGACCCCCTAGTCAATTCCGTACTCGTAGGTATGGAATCCCCTTGGAGCTCGGGATCCCCTTTTCTTGAGGTCTATCAAGGACTTGGCGAACATGGTGGCCCCAGCCTTTGCCAGCGTATTCGTAAAGTTTGTTCACTCGGAGTCGCTCCTCAAACTCACGGTCTCCCGGGCTCGCCCCGCTCTCAAACGTATTGAAGGATAGATACGTGATGCAGGTCATCGCGATGTCTTCCTCGGCAGCTGGAAACCATTTCTGTCGAGTTCTTTGAAAGTATTCTTGTGTAGTATAGTGTACCAATCGGATGATACGGCTTTCCTCGTCGATTGTGACCAACCCAGCACATACTGAGATCATCTCCTCAGTTTCCGTGAGGTTTTCTTCGTCGAGTTCCGACTCTCCGGGTTCTACGGCAAGTGCGTGTTGGAGCTCTTCAGTCGTGAGGGGCCTCCTGGCGCATGTGATCCATTGTATGACCTGCTTCGCGAGGAGTGCTTGGTCGCTGAGCTGCCCATTTATACGCTCCATCGCGTCATCATACGCACTGGCATATGCATCCGAGTCAGTGGGCCATTTTTCAAGTGTCATCCGAACTGCTTTGGGGGTTGTCTTTCCTTTCAGCGATTGAAGGTGAAGCTGTGCTAGGAGAAACATGCCGTCAACATGGTTAACAATCCCAGCCTGGATTTGCTCTCGTAATTTCTCATTTTTCCGGACAAAAGATGGGAGGTCTGTCATGTGGGCATCTATATATCTGCGAACATCGTGTTCAGTGGCTCTGATCTCTTTCGAGATACACGCACTGTCTTTAAATGTGTCGATAATGTCTGGGATGAATCTCGAGGTCGCGAAGAAATTCACTGGAGAGCCTGCCTGGAGGTCGAACATCTCAGAGAGAAATCTAGAGCGGCACCCGCTAGATATCTCACATTCGTCGAGCGCGTCTACAACGATAAATACCTTTGAGTACAAGGTAGTTACTGACCGAAGAGTCTTTGAAAGTTCGAGAACCGATGGCCTCGTTTTCCGCTGCTTGTGGTCCTCGTATAAGGATTTGACGGGATTGGGAAAAGGATATCGGAGCTCAGCTAGTTGCTTCACCAGACTTGCGAGAAGGCCCTCGATATTTTGATCATCCTTTCTGCGGAAATTGCAGTAGATGTATGCAATTCCGGTGCATTCATCTTTCTCAAATTGAGTATAGAGGTATTCAACAACGATGGAAGTTAGTATTGTCTTCCCCGCCCCTGGAATTCCTGGGCAGAACAGTGTCTTTTTCTCGGCATTCAGCCACTCCGTAAACTCTTCAGACTCTAGAAGCCATTCTCCAGTGCCATCTTCTCGGCGGCCGATAAAGTCGTTATGTTGGGTAGTGTAATCCACCGGGGTGAGCCAGTCGAGGATGTGCTGCCTCTCGCGAGTGGCCACTTTGTCATCCATTCGGCCTTGTATCTGATCAAGAGAGAGGTTTTGCGTCTGGTGTATGCTCTCTTGCCGTTCAGAAACATGCTCTACCTTGCGGTAGGTGTTTGCCGTAAGTGTGAGGACGTCAATGACCATGAGCTGGTTCAGCGTCTGACATTGTCGGTGTAGTCTTTCGACCGCCTCCCGTGTTCTAGGAGCCTGGAAGGCCCCTTTCAGCCGTTCCCACCCCATTCGATGGCTGTTGGCCCGCTTTGTCAGGTCTCCGTGGAGGCTTTGCAACTCGGCCTTGCACGCGGACACCATGGTCATGGTGTCAGTGTCAGTAGCCAACTGCCTAATCTGCGACTGTACTGCTGAACGATGACCGAGAAACGCGCCCTCAAAGTCTTTACTGTAGGTGATGTTTGTGCTTGTCTCGTACAAGACTGTTTTAAGAGCCTGAAGCTCCGCTATGAAGCTTCTAGCATCAGCCGGCGCATCCTTCCAGTCGGATCCAAACTTGCTCGTGACCTGGATAAGTTGGATCGTCAGGCCGATAACGCCCACGACTCCGGCGGCGGCTTCAAAAGACATGACTCGGACGAGGGCTAAAGAGGTGGCTATACTCCGAATGTTAGTTGATTCAAAGACTCGTAGTTGTTGTAATGTTGAACGATTGCCACTGTCTTCTAGGATCGAGGTGAGGCAGGACCAGAGTTGATAGACTCCTGCGGGGTAGCACAGCCTGGTGCCTTCCCACGACGAGAGATCCATCATTGATGGATGCATCAACCCATTGGATCAAATCCAAGCCAATCCGGGGCCAGCTACCCCGCTTTCATTTTTGGTGAGGGATGGAAAGTGAACGACTCTGAGTGGTGTTTGACTTGATGATGTGCTGAAGGCGGCTCCCGCGCAAGGGGTGTGTACTATTAGCTTCAATGACGTTGTTGCCAGGGCTGTCACCCACGCCAGCGGACAAATTCGTTGGTGAGCTACGGGTGGGTGCGATGTGCAAATAGTAACTAAGCTACACTTACAGAGAAAACACAAAATGGAATATAGAGGAGCCTGATAGACTCGTACGCTGCTCATCGGTGTTTCTTGGCCGTGATGCACCCGCCTCGGGTCGCCGTCGCCGGCGATGCAGCGTGCCAAGTTAGGGTCGGACGGTGGTATCAATTACGGGAGCTAGCACTGATCTTGATTCGCACTAATGCCCATCCGTCGACGCTTACTCCTTAGAGAACATTGAAATGAATGACCCGTGTCAGAGGCCGAAGCCTCTCAAACTGACCGTCCACAATGGCCCTCAAATATGTACCTATCGAGATAACTTGGACGGGGTAACGCCTATTCCGCCTTTTACTGCATTCATATGAGTTCATACACAATGACCTGCCAACGAGTCTTTTGACCAGATATGCTGTCCTTAATGAGGAGATATTGTAGATCTTGAATTAGCTTGCTATCATGATTGTCGAGATGCGGGAAGCAGAGTGCCGCTAAGATCTTGGGTTAAATTTATATGTTGGCGATGGACCAGGCGTTTAAACTTGCTCGCGAATTTGAGAAAGTGCAGCATCGTCGACGGCGTCGCCACACCTTAATCCACCAAGCCCACCTTTTGCCTCAATGCGTACCGGAAACCGTGAAAGCAACCCGTTCACGAATCTTTGAGTCCAAAGCTGCTCGAGGATGGTTGACACCAAGACTCACCTCACGAGCCCAAAGGGGGGGGGAACACCATGGAGGGCAAAATTGGCGCCGTCTTGCGCTGGGCCCAGCCTGATGCTCTGATTCTCGGCCAATATTCCGTGCGAAAATAGATCGCAACCAAGCGCGCCCGGAAAATTATCGTGGGGCAACAGCAATGTTTTCCCCAGCGCTGGTCTAGCTCCCTTGATCCATTGGATCTTTGTCATCCATCTGTCCTGCCATGACCGCTATTCTCCACGACCATTTCTGGGTCGTCTGGCCACACCTGGCTGAGCCCATCGGCAGAGGCGAGTGCCGGATCGACCCATTCCGCGCTGGACCAACTCCGCGGCCCCGTTTGTAGACCCCCAGCGCAAGATGCCCTCTTCCAATCGCCGCGAGTGCTCGTTGTTCCTGCTGCTCCTCCTAGTACCTGACAAGCCTGGCGCCTCGGTGCTGGGCCCACTATGAGCAACGATATTGCTTTGCTCACCATCGTTTGATTAATTTTCTTGCCCCTTCCTTTCGTTTTGCTCTTTGGTCCGGTCCCCTCCCGAGGCTGGCTTGGCCCTTTGAAGAGATGCGATGCTTGTACTTCGCTTACGGTGGCCCTTTAGCAGTGCTTCTCCGGTGCATCTCCGCTGAAAAGCGCCGGAGACGATCAAAACCGCGGACCACGGGGTCGCACCTCTCTGACTGCTTGGCCCCTGGACCCGTGGGCTACACCACGCCTGCTGGCTAAAATCCGATGTCAGGGCAAGATCGGACGTGGCACAACACAGCGTGCAACCACACCGATGCACCCATTCTCCTCCGACCGGGGCGGCTCTTGACGGCGGTGCGCTAGGCGTATCTCGCTGTGCTCAACAGAGGACTCTTATTACTCAATGGTGTGATGACGAGGACGTAGTTAATTCCGCCATCTGAATGGAAAAGTGGCTGAACGGAGGCTTGACGTCTTTGTGAGGTCTTCTTTTGGCATCTCACTCGCCACTATCCTTCGTTTGTGCGTTGGGGGTTCAAGACCATGTGCGACGCGATTCTAGGCTTGGACTAGTGTTGTCAAACACTCCCGAGCCTGGGCAGCGAATGGGTGTGTACCGCGATTGGTTACCTTGGTCTCTTTACACATATTGGTGTATTCATTTTTTTCATGTTCTTCCATGTTGAGCACTATGTAGGCGAGCATCATCGATGGCCTCCTTGTCCGTGGCAGACCACCAAGACGACGCAGTTGAAGCGCAAGAATGAGGTCTCGACAGCCGGGAGAGAAAGCCAGCCCAGGAAATCCCACTTCGAAGATTTCCGTTTTGAGTTTAGTCTCCGCCCGTCCTTGGAAGGGGGTTCGAAAAAAAGAAAAAGCTGGCGGAACTTTGGCCTCAAGTCTTCCCAACCCTTTGCGTGTGCTTGATGTCCGGACTCCACAACGAGACAATTGGCGCCAAGTCCCACCCGAGACCAGATGCATTGAAAGCCAGGGACACACACAGAGTTGCTTGGAAGTCTAGGCCATTTTTTCTCGTCTTTCCCCATGATCCTAGCTGTGGCCCGCTCCCGCCCTTTGACAACTCCGCGGAGAAGCTGAATCCATTTGTCGTCCCATCCGCTCATCCACCCCACTACGCAACACGATGTTTCGCGGCACAAGCCTTTCCCTGTCTTTACGGAGCTGATGGAAAAAAAAATCTTTCTGCTTTGGTCGTTGCTTCAATAGCCGGCCTATAATTTTTTCCTTTTTTTCTCTCATATTCCTCACCGTTGTCCTTTCCCTCCATTACCCCTAGTCCATTTTCGCCTCATTCCGCCCCTCCCCGTCCATCTCATGCCCCTCCTGGAAAGCTCCGGGCCTGGTCATTGGATTCCAAATGGTCCGAGTCTCATTGGAGCATTGAAGCTCCCCCAAAAACGCGACTTTGTTAGTGACTACAGCATGGCGCCACTTTTGCTAAACGCCTGCCCGCCGCGTTCCCACTCCCTTCCACGGAGATCCAACCAGCATCGGTGTTCGCCAGCCCACGGGCTCCGAATGAGCCCAGGGGAACGCAATGATCGGAACTAGGTCCTTGGGACCCGAACGGGAATTTACCGTTCAGGGACCTCTGCCAATAACTGACGGATTGTATTGGATACGATGCTTGGGAAAGGGCAAAAAAATCCGCTCTCGCTTCCCTGGTCCCCAGCACGATGGGACGACAAAGCACGCCGGCCGTGGAGGCGGGAATCGCTTGTGACGTTTTCCGGGGATAAAAAGCCCAGCGTGCGTTTTCCGTAAAACTCAATTCTCCTTGTTTCTTTTTCTTGTATGCATCATCACTGCAGAGTAAACATTGAACAGTCAATACATCGTCTCAAAGACCACTTCCGTCACGTACACGCCTCCCGGAGCCGGTGACAAATCGTCGTCCCTTCCGAAACCCACACAGCTTTCCCTACCCTACCCTGCACCTCTTGCAGTGTCTAAGCCAGAATTACCTGACGTCCTCGCTTCTTACACGCACCCCCTCCCTTCCACTACTTCCTGCAACCTGCTCTCTTCCTCCCCTTCCCAAGACATATATACACATATACACACCTATATATAAACACCTTCCGCCACCCACCATCAGGCATTTCCATCCTCTCCTCTCCTCACCATGTTCTCATCGGCTTCCCGCCTCTTAGCCAAACGCACAACACTCTCAGCAGCAGCCTCCTCCTCCTCCCAGCAACCCCTCCGCCGGTTCCTCTCCACCACCTCCGCCAGAATGGCCCTCACCCAAGACCAGATCAACATCGTCAAGTCGACCGCTCCCATCCTCAAGGAGCACGGTCAGACCATCACCACCTACTTTTACCGCAGCATGCTCGGCGCCCACCCCGAGCTCAAGAACACTTTTAGCTTGCGGAACCAGCAGACCGGCGCCCAGCAAAGGCCCTCGCCGGCGCCGTGCTCGCCTACGCCACCTACATCGACGACCTGCCCAAGCTCCACGCCGCCGTCGAGCGCATCGCCCACAAGCACGCCGCGCTCTTCATCGAGCCCGCGCAGTACGATATCGTCGGCGAGCACCTCATGAAGGCCATTGGCGCCGTCCTCGGCGAAGGGTTGACCCCGAGATCGCCGACGCGTGGGGCCTCGCGTACAAGCAGCTCGCCGACGTCTTCATCAACCGCGAGGCCGAGCTGTACAAGGCCCCCGGCGAGAACGTCCCCATGGGCTGGCGCAAGTTTAAGATTGCCAAGAGGGTCGAGGAAACCCCTACCGTGCTCAGCTACTACCTCGAGCCCGTGGACGGCCCTACTCCCTTGCCCAAGTACCTCCCTGGCCAGTACGTCAGCTTGCAGGTTCCCGTACCCCAGATCGAGGGTCTGCTCCAGAGCAGGCAGTTTTCGCTCAGCGAAGCCCCTCCGCCGACGGCAAGTACTACCACGTCTCCGTCAAGCGCGAGTTCACCACCCCCAACGCGCCTCTCGATGACATCGCCACCGGCAAGATCACCGGCCTCGTCTCCAACATCCTCCACGACAAGTACTTTGAGGGTGACGTCGTCGAGCTCTCCGCCCCCAGGGCGACTTCTTCGTCAACGTCGCCGACGCGTCCAAGGCCGATACCCCCATGGTTCTCCTCTCCGCCGGCGTGGGCGTGACTCCTCCGCTCCATCCTCGACACCGTGCTCGAGTCGGCCGAGTCGCAGATGAAGAACCGCCCCGTCAGCTGGATCCAGGCTTCCCGCGACAAGACCAACGCCGTATTTGGCAAGCACATTCAAGATGTCGCCGGCGCCCACGGCAACGTCAAGACCAACCTCTTCCTCGACTCTGTCACCGAGGCTGATGTCAAGGGTCGCGATTACAACTTTGCCCAGGAGCTCGATATCAAGGTCCTCGACGCCGACAAGGACCTCTTCATCAACGACAAGTCGGCCGAGTACTACATCTGCGGCCCTGTCGACTGGATGCTTGGCGTGCGCAAGGCTCTCGAGACCATGGGCGTCTCTAGGGATCGCATGAACCTTGAGCTCTTTGGCACCGGTACCGTTCCCGAGGAGTCTTGAGGAATACGTCGTGAGGAAGCGGTTTTTTATTGGAGGATTTTGCGCGCGCATACACAACTCTTGGTATACCCCTCCTGAAGCACAACACACAAAAGAAAACAAAAAGAAAAAGAATGACGGTATAGGAGGGAGATCTTGCAGAGGGTTCCCGAGATGGAACATGTAATATTGTATACATGAGAAAGACATGCAAAAGACGAGGGGTTTCAAAAGGGATATGGCATGTCAAGCATATGGAGTTTTCTGGGAGCATTGTTTTTGGTAGCATTGGCACTCTCCTTATTTCTAAACCGGTAGATATCAATCCACTTCTTTAAGTTTAAGTTCGTTCTCTTTGATCCGCTTGAAATAGGAACTGCGAGGCGTCTGAAAATCGTATTCTAGATAAGAAGGTTACACAGGTAAGAAGTAGCTTACTTCCACGGGGCAGTCAACGGCCACGGTTCCGGACCATGGGCTTGAAGGACGGCCGCTTTTTTGTAGAGATTAAGAGAGTTCAAGACCCGTTGTTCCGTTTCCCGCTGACTTCCCGACAGAGTCTAAAAGAGTGCCTCCACCCTGTTCTCTTCCCTATGCTCTGCAAATTTGGCGTTGATGGCTGCTCGTGGATCTGTCTTTGCTTCCTATCCATCTAGTTGGGAGTACGGTATCCGCAGCATCGTAGCATGCATAGAATGGTATGTGGACTTTGGCTTCGGCCACTAGACTCCGAGGTATATGTCGTGCTTCTGCCCATCCGAAACGTACGACGAGCAGCATCCGGAACCATGTCAACTTCCTAGCCACAACTACAACCTCCCTGTAAGAGTGACGACCGCGAGTGCTACAACTAGTAGAAGGCTGACGAATTCAAAATTCCTACTTCGTAGAGAAAGAGAGTGAAAACGCCCAACTTCGGACGCCTTTCCAAGATAAAAAGACTCACGTATGTTTCCTGAGACCGTGATGAGGGCCAAGGGAACGTGGGGCGTGTTGCCAAAGAAGACTTGCGATATAGCAAGATAAGAGCCACGTCGTGAAGGAAATCTCAAGATGAGCTTGCTTTACACCATTTATATCTTTGGCACCGCATGGCCCTCCTAAAGAGATATAAACCTGCCGCGAGAAACCAACGGTATGAGACCACATCAGTCGAGATACTATCCTCAGTAAGCCTACTTAGGTAGTCACAGGTATCACAGTCACGGGGATGTTCAAGAATAGTGATTCAGAACATAAATAGCAACTCCACCTGAAGCCCTTTGGCATGACTGTTATATCAAAGGCTTAGAGCAAAGACATGATCACGTGCGAGTCACGCATATCCACGATACTCTTGTTCGCCATCGCGTAAGCTTAACCTTGCTTCTCAATTAGCCTCTCTACTTGTTTTGATCTTAAGCCAGTAAGGGAAGACACCAAGCACAAGCAAGTAGTAACCCTAGCTGACCTCTCTTGACACTGAGGGGAGAAGCTCGGTGAGAGGCTGGGGTGAGGATCAGGGGTTACCTGCGAGAATCTAGAGAAGCCATTCATGCATCAAGCCTCACTTCTTCACAGCTCCTATCGAACCTTTCGACTGATAAGCGAACAACACGATAATGGCTTTCCCTACACCCATCCAGTGTCAGAGCACAGGCCCCCGTGGTCCCACCATCTGCCATTGAAGGGGGTCCCGGAGGCGACCGTTCATCACGTGTATCGGCAGCTGGGAACCTTGAAGCGCATCAATCGATAACGGGGAGGGCTCCGGCGAGTTCGCGTATCGGGTACGGAAATCGAAAAGCTTCTAGAGTGGGCAAGGGACGGGAACGCCAACAGGCGGCCCTCAGTCACAGAGGAGGAGAGTAACACTTCTCGCAACACCATCCTGTCGAAGCTGAAGCATGATGGCACCCGCATTCCACCCCCTTTTAAACTCTCGCGACCGGCCAACAGGCCTTTCAAGGTGAAATTTTCGGCCGGGGAAGGGCTTTCGCTTAGGGGATTGTTATCTGCTTCATGCCATTAGGCGAACTGTTGAGCGTTCGGCATGGCCGTCCGGGAGAGGTTGCCACGGAATAAATTGGCCGCTTCATGAACTTTTTTTTCTCTTGTTCGTTTCCATCCCCATTCGCAACTGCCCGGGAAGGGCAGCTAGATAAAAACATCGCAGGTTGCCACTGAACTTTGTCCAACGGGATCTTGATGGCGTGAGTATATGTATGTCTCTCATCCCGTTTGGCGCTGTGCGACCTCGACAGACGGCAGTATTTCAATGAGGCAGGACGTAGTGGTATAAATTCCTCCTTAACTTGAGTAACAGGTGCTGCACATGTAACGTATTCTGCTCGCCAAGTTCATTACTTTTCGCGGAGGGCGAGCGAGTGCGGGAGGAACAACAGCTCTCGCCTGTCTAAAAATAGAACCCGTCTGCAATTAGGAGAGAGGGAGGTTCATGGTATTGAAGGGCGGGCGGACGAGAGACTTTGTGACCTGGCTACTTGCGAACCTACGCCAAGTGCCGACGTGAATTCTACTTAACTTGTTGGTTCTGGCCCGCTCGCTGCCTTGTGGACATCTTCTTTATTCTGTCCTGATGCCGCAGGTGCGCGGAGCACCAACTGGGCGACTTCAATTGTCAAGGGAAAAAAGGGAATGATTTTCTACACTCTCAATGTCTTGGGGGTGGGCGCAACAGCAGAGGGTGGGCGGAGAGGAGGCGATGGAGAAGGCAAGTAAATTAGGCTAAAAATGGCGACATTCGATTCGTGGATCAGTGGTGATGCTTCATATCAGGGAACCAGTATTTGGAGGACCGCGTGGTGGTTTCGGATGGCACTAGGGTGGCCGTTGGGGAGAGATAGGCCGAGATGAGAGTCAAAAAGAAGGTCTGCGACTCAGGGGAGCCTCAACCTAACAACCTTGACAATCACCAAAGGGAGGGTTGTGAAAGAAGCTTTTACTTGAACTTAGGATGAGATCAGTCGCCGTGTTCAAACACGACTTCACCTCGCCAAAGTTATCGGTAGAAATGTGCGCAATGGGTACCGGCCGGAAAGCTGCTTATCCCGTCGCAGGTAAAAGCTCAGCTCCTGTTGCCGGAAATGGCGGGGGTCCTGCTGTTCAATGTTGACCTTGGCGGATGGTATGGAAAGTGGCGACGAATTGCGTGGAGCTCAATATGAGGCAACAGTCAATCTCAGTCAGACCCCCATGTCCTCTGCCTTTGGCCGCCAGAGTGCCAGATTAACTCCGGAGCTAGAAAGGCGCCAGGTTCTCCTCCGGTTCGACCGAGTTTCTAGGCATTTTAGTCAGGTGGACCTTGTTAGACATCTCATCGCGATCGATGAACGAACACCTGCCCGAAGCAGGCCCTTTCTCGCAGACAAGCGTCGGCCACCGGGCCTTGTTCCGCCTTGTCAATCCTTCCCAAATCTGTGGGCTCTACACCCACTTGGCCCGAAAACCGCCGAGCGACAATGGTCCATTGGAAGGTGAGCAACACAAAGGAAAACAGAACCCCCCCGCCCCGAATAACTCGGCAAGGGAAAAGGTCAATTATGTTTACTCCAGAGCTGCCTGCACACGTGCATTCATCGACTCGCCGTAGGTGGAACGAAGTTGAGGCGTTGACAGCTACAATGGTGGGCATGGTGATGAGAGCATGCCATGCCAGCAACCCCTCGGTCGCATATAGCCCCACGCCGGCTGATATTAATCTATATGCCTGTAGATTTAGATGAAGCGGCCACTGAGGAGAGGACCCTCGGACGCACTCAAATATATTACGGCTCCATCAATCCATCCACTCAAGAGAGGTTGGCCGGTAAATTGCACAACTGCCCAATGCGGTTAATTGAGAAGGGTGGTGGTGGCCATCTTCAATCTTCTCGCTTCGATCAGGGTTGATAGCGTGGTGTCATGCGGCGCTGCGTTGAGGGAGGTGGGCAAGGAGGTACGAAGTGTCCTGGTCTTTCGCCTTGCCTTCTACAGGCTCTAGTTAGCCCTGCAGAAGCTACCAGCAGGAAAGAAGAAAGACAAAAAGACAGTACTGCATCAACGGATTGGTGACACCGCCTGACCGATGTATCCTGGCTGAGGCTCAAGCCTTGTACGAGTGGCACCGTGTCCTTGTATTGATCCAATGCTTTCCTTCGATACCATCTCCTACTTCTGGCTACATGAATGGCGAAGTCTAGTGATGGAAGTTGGAGGAAGAAATATAGCGAGACTGTCGACACTGCATCCGGACCCGTGCGGGGAAACATGCTCAGCAAGGCTTGAATGGTATCCCGAGGAAAAAGAAGAAAAAAAGAAGAAAAAAGGACGAAAAAAGGTTGGAATGCCCCTTCCCTTCCCCGACCCGCTTACGCCGGCAACGCCCCGCATCGATGGCCGGCCTCCACCTTCTCAAAAGGCGAGGTCGAGGTGGGCTCTTTCCCGCACACGCACACACACTCCAGAATAACCTGGGAAGGCGCATTCGGGTGAGGTAGACGTTGTGGTGCGCGTTGTGAACAAACATCAATTGATGGATCCATTGACTTTTGGTATCCTTGGCCCAGAACCCACAGTCATAATTCTTTCCTCTCTGCACGAGGCTTCCAAATACTCAAAGGTCTGCGTCTCCTATTTTACGGTTACGAATGCCACCGCTACCACGTCGACAAGTCCGTGGTAACGAGCTCCGTTGACCCTCCCTTTTTAACGTAACCTTTGGTGGCCTCACCAAACAAACACGCATCGCACCTGGGCGAGAGCCGCCCCTTGCCTCTCGCTTCTAGCCTCCTCCTACCCCCTCTGTCCGCCTTGTTGAACGCTACGCTTGACGGCCTGCCCGTACCTGCCATCCCAAGGCTGGATGGCTGGTAACGAAGGCCTAAGCTTGGTCTCCCGAGTGTCCTTTTCCGGGGACGACTTGCCGCGCTAGCGTCGATGGTTGCAAGGTTGCAAGGGTGCAAGGTTGAAAGTTGAAAGGTCGTCTGCCTTGATCGGAAGCATCCACCATCCTCGAACCGTTTGCGAGGTTGGCCAAGCTCGCCAGGGGTTTAGTGTCGGGCGAACTTGATACCGGCAAGATAGGGAGGAGCTGCAAGTGCGCATAGATAAAGCTAAAGAAAGGACGAAAATAGCAAGATAGGTTAATGGGAACTCGACAAAGGAAAGACCAGACAATGACCGAGATCCAACCAACAGATCCGGGTTTTTGGGAAGAGTTCGCGTGGTTGGACTTCCAACATAGACCGAAAACATATTGAACCGGATTACGTTGAGCCGTCCTGAGCTGGATCAACGCGATGGACTGTTCTGCTCAATGTTGCCTCCATGTATGGCGGGGCATGGAGTTTGAGGGACTGTGCCGCCACTCCGTCCCGAGCCATTGTGTGTAAGTGCTCCTCAATTTCCAGATCCCGGCACGCTCCCCAAAATCCACACACCACACACCACATCCACACCACGCACACCACACACACCGCGGGCGCGCACCCAGCACGGGCACATACACACCACACCCCCTCCCTCACTCTCCAGAACCAGATCAATCAATCTATGTCCCACTGCACCGATTTGTTCCTCGTTGGCTGTCTCGCCGATGCTACCACCCTCTACTCCTACCCTGCTATAGTGTAATTTTCTATTATAAGAGACGGTTGAGGTGAAAGGCTGCTTCACCGGGTCGGGTTTTATATTAATTCACCTTTTGATTTCCACAGTCTCCCCTCTGTACCTTGCGCCTGAATCTCCCCTTTCTCTCTCTCGTCGACGTTGATGGCGCCTTTTACCGCTTCTTCCCACCTTGCAACCCACTTCATCTTCGCATCAATCACTGTCGCGCTCCATTCTCAAGCTTGGTGACAACTTCGTCGCCGCCGTCGAGAGCCATTCGACGACTTACACTCGTTTTTTCTCACAAAGGTGCAGCACAGAAACGGAGTGCCCGAGCGTACATATGAACTTGCCGCCGATCCGATCGACACGAAAGTGAGCATGAGGAGAAGGGAGCCGGGGAAACATAATACCTTCCAAGTGGTAGCCCGACAACCTGACGGAATCACGATCGAATCTTTCAGCTACACTATCTCGGGGCCAAAATCTGGTCGCCGCCTATCGAATCGAATATGAGGAACCGAGACATTGAAGAAAATGTGTGGGAGCCCGTTGCTCCCCGCCATCGCGAGACGCCAGACGTCGAAACTCCCGAGACTAGGCGGGTGAGCCCTACAGAACGAAAGAGGCAACGACCCTCTGTAAGGGAGCGAGAATCAGATGTAAGAACTGATGACCGGATCTTTTTGCCCCACTCTCTTCTCTATCGGCCTTTGTTTATTCTCAAAGAGTACCTGCTGGAGCCATGCTTTTGGTGGAATGAGGATGAGGGCTGACAGGCTTCTACAGCAGACAACAACGACCGAGGTTGTAGACCAAGCGACGATATTACTGAATGCGGAGGAGTAAGTCAAGCTTTGTAATTCCCAGGTATTTTGCGACACTAACATAAGCTACAGCCACTTGCAAGTGACGGAAGATGATCTTTTAGAAGCCAGGGCGATCGCAGCGCAATTCACATTAGAAGAGGTCAAGCTGGTGAGCATCTCAAGATCCAACCCGGGGATTACCTCCTTGGCCGAACGCGCGAGCTAACCTCAGAGGTATAGTTAATGCAAAAGGTGCACAAGGTGCATAGGCACGACCCTAACCTTCCATTAACAGTGGTGACGAGGATAGAAGAATTTATAGGTTCGTTCTAGGCCACATAAAACACAAGACCTGGGTACGAGGGATAGCTTAGCGCTGACATGTGAGGCAGGGAACGAGTCAATCTTCGAACACCCCGAGAAACACCAGGCTCTTATCCAAGAGATGAAGCTTGAGGCTGCGCTCATAACGAACAGCAGCCCCTATGCGGAAGTGCGCGCGATAGTCGAGAACGAAGACGACCCGAACACACCATGTTCAACCATTCGAGCCTGGGCCATTGGTCTTCTTTTCTCATTCGCTCTGTCGCTCGTCAACCAGATATTTTCCATGCGCCTGCCGCCACTGCTCATCATGTCGAGTGTTGCGCAGTTTTTGGCCTATTTCCTAGGAAAGCTTTGGGAGGTGTCCCTCCCCGACGTAGGGCTGACGATTCGAGGAGTGCGCCACAGCCTGAACCCCGGACGGTTCTCGCGGAAAGAGCACATGCTCATCACCATGATGGCCAATGTCGCCTTTAGCCCGCCGTACACAAACACGGTTGTCTGGATTCAGTACTTGCCCCACTACTTTAACCAAGCGTTTGCAGGTACTTTCGGGTATCAGATCCTCGTCGGCCTCTCCACCAACTTCATCGGTTACGGCCTAGCAGGCATCGCCCGACGCTTCCTCGTCTACCCCTCGTACTGCATTTGGCCGACATCGCTCGTCACCATTGCCCTGAACACATCGCTCCGGAGGGCGTCGCACAAGACCGTCGAAGGGCCGGGTAGGACAAGGTTCCGCGCGTCGCGGCGGTTTTTCTTTACAGCGCCTTCTCGGCAATGGCGGTATACTTCTTCCTTCCTAATCTCCTATGGACTTCCTTGTCCAACTTTAGCTGGATGTCGTGGATCGATCCCCTCAACCGCGACCTAAACACCGTGACCGGGTTCAACAATGGCCTTGGCCTCAATCCCTGGCCAACATTCGACTGGAACGTCCTGCTCTGGGACAACGTTGATCCCCTAACGATTCCGTTTTTCAGCACCTTTAACAAGTTTATCGGTGCCTTTAGTTCCATGTTTGTGGTCCTCGGCATCTATTACAAGAACGCCTACGGCACGGGCTACCTTCCCATCAACTCGAACCGCTTCTACGACAATCAAGCCTTCCAGTACCGAGGCTCCTTCGTTATTGGCGAGGATCGCATGATTGACCAAAAGGGATACGAGACTTATTCGCCGCCCTTTATCTCGGCCGGCAACATTGTCATCTTTATGTCATACTTTGCCCTTTACACGGCGTTGATAACGTGGGCCACGCTCTACCACCGACAGGTAATTGTGGCCAACGCCAAGTCTTGGTGGGCCAGCATTCGAGGCAAGGGAGATAGCGATGGTGCCCGCGTGCCCGATGTCCACAACCGCCTCATGGAATCATACAGAGAGGTACCAGAGTGGTGGTATCTCGTTATCCTCGTCATTGCTACGGTGTTGGGCGTCGCTGGGGTTGCTGCCTACGAGACGGACACCACGCCGGGTGTGGTATTCTACGGACTTGCACTCGCGCTCATCTTTGTCGTGCCGGTGGGCCTCTTGAAGGCCACTACCGGTATCGAGGTTACGTTGAACGTGCTCGCCGAGTTCATCGGAGGCGCCATGGTGGAAGGCAACGCGACGTCGATGAACTACTTCAAGACCTTTGGCTACGTGACGTGCGCCCAGGCCATCAAATTCTCCAACAACTTGAAGCTCGGCCACTACGTCAAGGTGCCCCCGAGGCAATCGTTTAGCGCGCAAATCGTGGCCACTCTTCTCTCGACGGTTGTCTGCACCGGGGCTCAGCTCTACCAGATGCACAAGGTGCCCAACGTGTGCAACGATGGCGCGCCGCTGGACCTCCTCTGCTGGACTATCGACTCCCTCTACACGTCCTCCATTTTTGGGGCACGATTGGACCGCGGAGGATATGGGGCCCCAACGGCGTTTACACGGAGACCCTCATTGGATTCCCCCTGGGCGCGGTTGCTGTGCTCGTCATGTATCTCATCTCGACCAAGTTCACCAAGTGGACGTGGCTGAGGCAGGTTCACCCCGTTGCGCTGATCTATGGCGGCATTCAATGGGCGCCTTACAACATGAGCTACATGTGGCCGGCGGTTCCCATCTCGTGGCTGTCGTGGATCTACTTTAAGAAGCGGTTCTTGGGGCTGTGGTCCAAGGTGAGCTTTTCATCTATTCGATCCCTTTCTCCTTGCCAAGGGCTTCTTGGACGGAGCCCGTATCTTTAGCTCAGAACTAACACTGGACTTTCATAGTACAACTACACGCTATCCGCAGCCTTCTCCACGGCGATTGCGATCAGTGGGATCATCATGTACTTCACCGTCGAATGGTACAACGTTAAGATCGACTGGTGGGGGACCGAGGTCAACTCAAGGGGATGCGAAACGACACCATGCATCCTGCACCAGCTTGAGGACATGACGGAATATTTCGGGCCTAGGATAGGCGAATTTCATTAGACCATCAGGCGTTGTTGCTTTCAATCTATTATTGCCTTTTATTAATTCTCATTATTTTCTCATTATTTTTCTTTTTCTGTCACAACCACTTGTGCCTAGCTAGGTACAGGGCTACAGGAGTTTTCTTTTCCTTCTTGGGCCAGATTTTGGCAAGGGCTGCGGTATTACTTGGACCTTGACGGTTTGTGTCGTCTAGTGATTCCCCGCTCGGGACTGTATTGCGGTGTCTTCGTAGCATCCCCCCTCTTCATATTCTTCTTGGACATTTCCTTTGGGTTGTATTTATCTCCGTTTCTCTGTGTTGGACCGGCGGCTGGGGAGGGGCAATACCAAGCTGGGCCTGTAGCAGGCCTGTAGAAACATGAATTGTTACATAAGATCGTCAACATGAAGAAGGGAATGTGCACACCGTGACCTGGGCTTCCTCACTCTAGAGAAGCCAAAGAAAGAAGTCAGGTTGAATAGGGAGATTGGAAGATTTTGGTAGATATAGTTGGAAGCAAAAAAGGAAAGAGAAAAAAAGAAAATGAAACTTCCCTACCAAGGGTCGAACTTGGAATCTTCCGATGTATGCTACTGGGAGTAACAGTCGGACGCCTTAGCCATTTGGCCATAGAGAATTCTTTGTTTCTGATTGGTTCTAGGTCTGCTAGTTTCAAATTATGGAGGCAATGATCTCTTTTACCTGTTTGGGCTTGTTGAGCGATCGTCAACGACGACTGGTACGAGTTCGTCACGAAAGGAAGAAAACAGAGAGTGGCAAGTTGGGTGGAAGAAGAAATAACGAGTCAATTTCAATGGTATCATGGACAGTGGCCTGGCTAGAAAGCTGTATAACCCCTAAAATCCCAACCTGAGAACGCGCTTTCCGGGCCCCTCAACGCCTGTAGATCGGACCTTGTAAAGATGAGACAAAACTCCTCCGAAAACAGAAAAAAAAAAACCGAGATTGTGTTCTCTTGACGCCCATATAGCTCCCAAAGATGCATATCCAGTGAGTAGAAAATATAACGAATGAAATTGACAGAAATAGAAATGTAAGAAAAAGAGAAGAAAGGAAAGTAGAGACAGGAGTGTTGGCTTTTATGCCGAGGAGGGAACAACCGGCGCACCGTAGTGGATGCTTCCCAGCCTAGACATCCTCTCGAGCGCCCTGCTGGCCTTCCTCATGATGCCCTTGCTTTGCGCATGGGGCGTCGAAGGCGAGCTTCCGGCGCTGGAGAGTCCCTCGGCGCGTGATAGCATGAAAGGCGGTAGAGGCCCGAGGGGGCTCAGAGGGCTCACGGAGTCGGTGGACTCGTGGTCCGCGACGACGGTGGTAGTGATGGCGGTGGGTCTGGCCGAGTAATGCATCATTTCAGCTTCCTCGCCAATGGGAGAGACAAAGGCGTTGCCACCGGACCGGGCCGACGTCACCACAGCGAGGTGGGAACAGGAGCCCGAAGCGGCAAAGTTGGTCGTCGAAGGCGACGACGCGGACGCGCCAGAGCGAGTATGGATGGAGAGGCGGCGGATACCGCGCAGGAGGGCAGCGGGATTCCTGTGGCCGCGGCTCTGGGCGTCGCGAATCTTGCGAGCGAGGAGCTCGAGCTGCTTGAGCTGGGACGGGTTATCGACGACCTCGTCGGTGGTGATGCAGAGGTCCTCGACCGAGAGATCGAGGTTGGCGAGGTCGGCGGTTAGGCGCGCGGCGAGGAGGTGGGCGGGCACGAGGCTGCCCCAGAGGTCGTAGAAGGAGGCGGTGGGGAGGTGGGGCTCGGGCACGCCGTGGCCGGCCGGGTCGAGCAGGTCGTTCCAGGCGGTGGCGATGGTGGTTTGCAGGAGGAGCAGGTCCGACGGGGACAGGAGGTGGCTCTGGGGCGTCGGGGCCGGGTCGAAGTCGAGCTGGGGGAGGGGCACCTGGCGGGCGGTGTTGTAGAGGTGGACGCCGCTGGGGACGGAGGGCTCGGACATGGCGGCGAGGGAGGTGAGGGACTCGATGGCGGACGCGAGCATGGCCATGGCGAGCTCGACAAAGGACACGGGCACGCGGTGCTCGCAAAGGTCATGGCGAGGGCGGCGGTGTCGGCGCGGGGCTGCGTCGAGGAGACCAAGAGGTCGTGCAGGTCTCGGTACGGCGACTCGGCCACCGCGACGCTGCACGTGGCGCCGCCAATGTTGAACCGCTGCGCCTCGCCCAGGCCGTCGCGGTACCGGTGCTGCACTACCGTGCTGAAGCGGGACCAGTACGGCCAGGACGTGCACTTTTCCACAATGTCGTACATGCCCGTGTTCTCGTACGGGATGGACGCGAGGCGCTGCTCGTGCACGCACCGGAGGAGGTCGAGGGGCGTCGAGGGCGCGTCGGGGAAGCGCACGCGCACGGGGATGATGTTGTCCAGCGGGCCGAGGACGCCGGCGACGCCGTTGGCCTCGGGCATGCGTACGTGGCGCCCGTCAATGACCTCGCCAAAGGTCACGTCTGAGGTGCCTGCGAGCGTGGCGAGGACAATAGCCCACGCGCTCTTGAGCACGGTGTCAAAGGTGATGCCTAGTTCCGCGATGGCGGCCGACGGGATGGCCACCGCCCTGGTCACGGTGCGCGGGGTCATGGACGCCTTTTGGGGCTTGGAATGCGCAATCACCTGCGTCATGTGCGCTCCCTGCAGGAGCGTCGTCCAGTGGTCAATGGCCGCCTGCGACCGGGCCGCCCTAGCCTGGCGCGCAAAATCGGCAAACGAGGGCCTCCGCAGCGTCGTGGTCTGCGAGCTCGAGTAGATGCGCTTGAGATCGTGCAGGAGAAGCGGCAGAGAAGCTTCATCGTACTGCGCGGTAGAGAGCCGAATCAAGAGAGCCGAGTGCTTACCCGCGTCGACAAACGTAAACTTGGTCACGAGCGTCGAAAGAGAAACGGGATAGGCCTCGTCCTTCTTGGTAATCTTTTCAATCGCGGACTGAAGCCGGCGACCAGGGCAATTCACCTTGAGCACAAGACGCTCCTTGTTCACGGTCGTGACGACCTGGTACACGCGGCGATCGTGAGCGACGAAGCAAGTCCGGAGGATAGGGTGAGCCCGCACGAGTTCCGCGCAAGCCGACTCAATCTTTTTATAGTCGACGAACCCCGAAAAGTTGAGCACCACGTGGTTAATACCCGCGCGCGCGCCGCGGAGGTTCGACTCGAGCGCCCGGATCTGGGTACAGGTCGCCAACGCGACGTCCACGATGCGGGACTCCTCGATGCCGGCGCACGGCGCCACGCTCAGCCGAATGTGCTGCAGCGCCGCCACGAGGTCGGGCGACATGGAGAAGTCGGCGTCGGGTACGTACATGCCGGCAGAAGGGTCTTCGGAGAGCGTGCTGGTCTGGCACAGATCAGTAAGAGAAGCGTTGCGCAGCACGTCGCTCAGGCGGATCGAGAGCCCTTGCTCGCGGCACGCGACGACGAGCCGCGCGGCGAGGTGAGCGTCGCCGCCGAGCCGCAGGAAGCTCTGCGCCGCCGAGATGCTCTCCGGGTTGATGTGCAAGAGCTGAGCCCAGATGGCGCGGACGCGCTCCTCGACCTGCGTCAGCGGCAGAGGCTTGATCTGAACAGTCTGGATCCCCTCGGGGTTGCTCGTGGCAGCGAGCCCGAGGAGCTCGGCCTGTGTAAGCCCGCTCACCATCTTTTGGAGCTTGCGGCGGTGAATCTTGAGCGAGGGCGTGATGGGAAAGGTGCGCACGGGGACGATGGCGGGGGCATCATGTACGAGGGCAAGGTGGTGTTCATGTACGACTCGATGAGGCGCTTAGCCATAAAGGCGCGCTCCCGGCTCGTGCCAGACAGCGCGGCCAGGTCCTCGGTGCCGTCAAAGTGCTCGCCGAGCTCGATAAAAGCCGCGAGCACGCGCGCGCCGTCGGCCGTCACGACGGTGTCGACGACAACTTCAACATCAATACCGAGACACCGGCGGAGGTGCTGCTCGACCTCGGGCACAGGGATCACATTACCATCATGCGACAGCCCGTCCCGCCTATGGGAGATGAGCGCCATGGTCCCGTCATTCATGTACCGCACGCGATGGCCCGTCTTGAAGAAGCGCATCTTGAGCAGGCCGTCGTCGCTCACCACCTGCTGCGCGCGCAGGGTCTCGAGCGGGGTCGCGTTCCGCATGAGCTTGTACGCGAGCGTGGGGCTCTCGATGACGAGCTCGCCCACGGCGCCAATGGGCATCAGGTGCCTGTGGTCCTCGGGGTTGACGATCCAAAACTTGCCGATGAAGGGCGGGGCGATACTCGACAGCTGCTCGGCCGAGTTGGCCTCGATCACCGAGATGCCTAGCGGGCAAATGTCCGAGGTCCCGTACGAGAGCAGGATCTTGGACTGGCCCGACCACCGCTCAAAGGTATCCTCGTCGAGGTGTCGGGTGCGGAAGCAAACCGTCCGCACCGATGGCACCTGCGCGGGCTTGAGGCGGCGCGCGAGCACGGGGGTAATATACATCCAGTCGACCTGGAGCCTCTCGACGGCGCCGACGAGATCGTGCGAGCGCTCCGCGTCCGACGGCACGCACAGGCAGCCGCCGTGCACAAGGGTAGTAAGCACCTCGGAGAGCGAGGTGTCCGAGGCAAACGAGGACAGCTGCAGCACCCTGCTCGCGGGGCCAATGTCGAGGGCGGGGCCCTGCGCAGTGAAAGCGGCGCTCAGGGCCTCGTGCGTGTAAAAAGGCCCCTCGCCTCCTTGGTCCCGCTCGACGACGGAGCGAGGAAGAACATGCACGCCGGGTTCCCCATGACGGCCTTGGGACACGCCTCCTCGTCGAGGAGCGAAGCCGAAAAGAGGCCGTCGTTGACGACGACGAGACTCTCGACCGTGGCCTCGAGCCTTTTGGCCCTCATATCCATGGCCAGCACGATCTTGGCCGACGTCTGCCGAATCACCTTGCGGGTCAGGCTCTCGTCGTCCTCGTCGAGCGGCACGAAGCACCCTCCGGCCTTGAGCACGGCGAGGATCGCGACCGCGGACCACCGGCTCTTGCCCAGGATGACGGGCACGGGCAGACCCGGCGCGACGCCGAGCTTGACGAGGTGCCGCGCGAGACGGCCCACGAGCTTGGCCATCTGGCGGTAGCTGAGCTGGCCGTCCCAGGCAGCGATCGCAGGAGCCTCGGGGCGCGCCTTGGCCACGGCCTCGACGAGCTCGTGTACCGCCTTGGCCGGAGTCACCGTCTTGCCACCGTCGACAGCAGAAGTGATGGCGGCGGGGAGCTGCGCCATGTCCCTGCTGCTAAAGAGATCGATGCCGCCGACAGAGCCATTAGGTGACCCAAGCACGGCACGGATAGCGCAGCCAAAAGCGTGGGCGATCCCCTCGCCCTGCACGCCAGTGAGGATGCGGTGGCTAAGTGTGACCTGGAGCTGGCCGTCGCGCACCATGACGCATACGGAAATATCCTTGTCCATGTTGGTAAAGTACATGGAGCACCCCAGCTGCGCGTGCGCGCGGCCGGTGCTAAACTTGCTCTTGAGCAGACCCTTGGGCTCGTCGAGGAACGAGAGCGTGGTGTTGTAGAGGTGCTTGCCCTTAAGGCCGAGCGCGTTCTCGACGTGGGAGACGGGGTGAACTGGTGCGCCAGCGCCTGGGCGACCTGCTCCTCGGTAGACTGCACCACCGAGTCGAGGGACTTGTGCGCGGGGAGATCCATGGAGCACACGAGCTCGGTCTCGAAACCGCCCACAGCCTCGGTGATACCTGCGAGCCGCGCGTCCGACAAATCGCGCCCAGAGTGCCGGAAACCGAAACACACCTTTCTATCGCCCGTGTACGCCCTGAGCAGGAGACCCCACGCGACGCGCAGCACCGTGGCGCGCTTGACGGCGGCCGGGTGGCAAAAGGCATCGAGGTCGGCGGCAGACACGCCGAGCTTCAGGGTCGTGGTCTGCCACTTGCCCTCGGCGTTGTTGCCGGACCACAGCGCGGGGAACAAGCAGGGCTTGGAGGTCTGGAGGCGGTCGGTCCAGTACTCGAGGTCGTCGGCGGCGTCGACCGCGCGCAGAGACTCAATGTACCTCGGGTAGGACAGGTCCAGGTTCTTGGGGAGACCTTGTTGTAGGCGTAGGAGCGCTTGAGGTCGGACACAATCTTTTCGATGCTGAGGATGTCGCAGATGGCGAGGCTCACCTCGAGCTTGAGCACGGTGGCGCCCCCTTGGCGGCGGTGCTGCACACGGACAGGCGGTGGCGGGGCTCGGACTTGCTGGGCTTCAGGGGCGGGAGGGTGTTGAGCGACAGCTCGGCGTTATCGGCGGGGCCGGCCTCGATGAAGAGCATCTCGGGCGAGCACTTGCGGAGCACGACGGCGTCGAAGAGCCCGTCCTCGGACACGCTCTCGATGAAGACGGTGCGGAGGGCGGGGTACTTGGCCACGGTCTGCTGCCAGGCGGTGCAGATCTTGGACGGGTCCACGGCGTTGTCCTTGCCGATGGCGAGCTCGAGGAGGGCGTGGAGGTTGTACGCGTTCGGGGACAGGCACTGGGCGACGAGGATCTCCTGCTGCAGCGCCGTGGCCGGGTACACGCTTTCAATGTCCCTCGCGCTGGCAATGTTGAGCGTCATGAGCCGGTCGCTGTTGAGCTTGGCGATGCCGTCGTAGGTGACGTTGAGCAGGGGGACGTCGGCCAAGGTGAGCTCCTGGGCCCTGTACCGGAGGCGGCCGATGGCCTCGAGGAGCAGGTGCTCGTAGTTGGAGATCCAGGCGCCGATGCGGCTCTGGTGGCGGGATTCCTTGTTGTAGAGGAATTTCACCTTGGCCACGCCCTGGTCAATCATGGTGGAGACCTCGAAGAGCGCGATGCGGCCGACGTTGGGACCAATGTCGGACGTGGCGCAGTCGAGGGCGCGGCCGGGAATGGGCAGCTGCTCGAGGATGCCGTTCTCGGCCTCGAGCTGCTGAAGAGACCCGCCGTAGGTAAACATGATCTCAAACGGCCAATCGCGGGCCTGGAAATCCCGCGCGTTGGGGCCGAGGAAGCGCGAGGTAAAGTAAGACCAGCCGTGGCGGGGATGGATCGGCGGGTGTCCTTGAGGCGGCGGAGGACGCTGACGAGGTCTTCGCCGCCGTCGGTCTCGAGCCAGAGCGGGCACAAGGTAGTGAACCAGCCGACGGTCTCGGAGATGTCGAGGTCGCTGGCCCACGGCTCCCGGCCGTGCTCCTGGTTCCACACCACGGGGGCTGCCTCTCGGGGAAAGTCTGGCAAAAGGAGAGGAGCAGGGCGGCGATGTAGATGTCGGCCGAGTCGGTGCGGAACGCTTGGTTGCACGTGGTCTGGAGGATGGCGGTCAGCTCGGGGGTCAGGAGAAGCTCACGTCGGCCACGTCGCCGTAGGTGTTCCTGGTGGTGTCGAGGCCCCAAAAGGCGAAATCGCCGGTGGTGATGTCAAAGTGCATGGGGCCGTCGTGCTCGGGCTTCTGGATCTCGAGCCACTGGAGGTCGTTCCACCGCTGAAAGGGCATGGACCTCTCGGAGAAGAGGCTGCCGTTCTGGAGGAGCTCGTTGATATCGTGGATGATGACGCGCCACGAGATGAGGTCGACGACGAGGTGGTGGGCGACGACGTAGAGCATGTGCTTGTTGTCCACCGTCTTGATGTACTCGGCCACGAAGACGGGGCCGGTCTCGATGTCGATAAAGGACTGGGACTGACGGATGACGTCGAGCACGTCGTCGTTGGTGCTCACTATGTGGTGGCCGAAGCGGTACGAGTCGGGGATGTCGGCGAGGACCCTCTGCATCCACGTGTTCTCGCCAACAGGCTGGAAGCGCGCTCGCAGCATGGAGTGGTGGCCCACGACGGCCTCCATGGCGGCGTGCACGTCTTCGAGCGTGACGTCCTGGTTCACCTTGAGGAGCATGCTCTGGTTGAAGCGGTAGTTCCAGCAATCCGCCGCCCTGGCCTCGCCGTCGCCGCCGACAGGCGTGTTAAAGTAGAGCTGCTGCATGGGTGAGAGGCGAAAGAGCTCGGCGCCCTCCTCGGCGTCCTCGGACCACCTCCGCCTATGGACGCGGCCGCCGACGGCGTATGAGGCGACGAAGGCGAGGTGGGCGATGGAGTCGCTGTGCATGACGTCGTCGGCGACGAGCCCGAGCCCTTTGCCCTTGGCCGCCGCGACGAGCTGCAGCGCCGAAAACTCGTCGCCGCCGAGCTCGCCAAAGGAGAGGTTCATGCCGACGCGGTCGAGCGGGAGCTTGAGCACGCGGCTGATGAGCTTCTGCAGCGTCTTCTCGGCCTCGGTGGCGGCGGCCTGGAAGGGGCCCCGGGTCTCGACGCTGAGGATGCGCTGATGGGTCTCCTCGTTGATGTTTTGGATCCAGGTCTGCAGCTTTCGTCGGTCTACGCCGCCGCACTCGGCGAGCGGCATCTGCTCCAGCACGATCCAGGCGTTGGGGACCGCGGAGACGGCGGTGGAGTTTTCCAGGAGCACGCGCAGGGCGGCGATCTGAGAGCCGGCGACCTGCTGGCGGGATTGGCAGATGATTTGGGCCTCGCAGTCCTGGCTACCATCGTCGGTCTCGCTGATTCCGGAGAGGATGAGGAACGCCACGACGCTGCCGTCGAGGTAGCCGGCCTTGGGCCTGATGACGGCGGCCAGGGGTACCTGGGAGGTGGATGTGAGAAGCTCCTCGGTGGTGAGGACCTCGGGATCTATCCTCGTGGTTGCGCGGCTCGACGCACGGGAGGGGAGGGGATGGAGGGGGAGTAGTTGGACTCTTCGGTCTCGGGGTTTTCCGCATTGTCGTTGCTAAATGTCTCGGAGGCCCGGCTGCTGCTATTCCGAGAACTCCTCGACGACGACCTGTTGGGTAGTTCGGCATCAAAGGTGAGGTGGGTGGCGGGGCGTATCCGGGTTTGCAGCTCGGCAATGGTTCTGCATTTGAGGATATCGTCCTCGGTGAGGGTGAGGTTGATCTCGGCAAAGGTGTTTCGTAATATCGTGGCAGACGACTTACTGCCGCCGAGGTCTGAAAAGGAGTCGTAGAGCTGGATTTCGCTCCGGGGAATATTGAGAACTTGGGAGATGGCCGTCACGAGCTTGTCGCCCAACGTCTCCTCCACGGGGCCGTTCACGGGCATGGTGGTGATGATGGGGGCAGGCTTAGCCTCTTCACACCTAGCGCCGACATGCTTGCGGTGGTAGCTGTGCGATTGCTAAGGGTTACCAAGAAGGGAAAAGAGGTGAAGGGCGAAGCGAAGAGAGAGGTGACCCGAAGGTCAAAAGATATGGAAGAAAAAGGGCTTGAGAAACCCGATTCTTAGCCCCGCATGAAGCAGTGGTGACACAAACTACGGTTTATGAACGTGTTAGTGGCTTGTCTTTCAAGAGTGGAAGTGCACGCTGCGTGACTCGACGAAGATGTAGTCGGACGACGTTGATAGGTGTGCGACCTTGGGTTGGTATGAATTAGGTTTTGGGTGAAGGGTATGAATGATTGGGAGAAGAAGAAAAAACAAAAAGAAAGGACATCAATGATGCTCGGTGGATGTGAGTGGGTAGGTGTGGTCTAAAGTAAGAGGTGGTGAGGTGAGGGGGCGGAGCTGGACGATGGAGGAGGCTTGACGCTTATACGCTTACACGCGAAGGTTGATGGACGAGAGGAGCCACAATGGCGATGACCGATTTTAGTCTCCGGGGTGCACCCACACCACAACGACACTTACGCCTAAAATTAAGGTCTTATAGCAACAAGCACTAATAAGTTTTGTTTGTGCTGGTGGTATCGGGAATTATTTTGCGATCTTGGTCGATACGGGGTTTCGTCTGCCGAGGATAAATGAATGAATGATCAACAATGGCTCGTACTGGAGAAAGAAGGGGAAAAAAAGAAAATGCCATGGGCCCCGGCATCGACGGTATATCTGAGAGGAGGAAGGATTAGCCCGCTCAAGGAAACAAAAGCAAATGGGCGGGGGTGGTCTACGAAAGTCGAAAGCAGGGGTGGCAGCGAGAGTGAAGAGTCGAGGAGCCGAACCCAAGATTGCGGTTGGGGATTCGGATCTACGTCTGCGGCCTCATGCGCGGCCGAGGGTTGCCAACATGCGCGGGGGCGAGAAGAGAGAGAGCGGAGAGAAGAGAGGGCTGAAGCAAAATAATACTTTGGTTGGTGACAATCTCCACTCGTCCCGGGCCAAGGGTCTTTCGGAGGGGCGAAGCTTATGGGGCGGGCAGCTAAGAAGATCCTTGGGTCCTGGGCTCGAGGAGACTGAAAAAAAGAACCATTCAAAGCAGAGACCCTCTATCGCACATCCCGGCAAGCAGACCCGAGGTAGTGATCGGAGGTGGACGATGCAAACGACCAGGGTACGAGAAGGGTCGAGGCTCCCATAAGATCACAATGTACCTGATGCATTGTGTTCTTACGAGTGGGAACATTGGTGTGTCTGCCCGCCATGTTATTTGTTGCTTTGGGTCGGGTCACGAATTCATTCAATCCACGTCTTCCGAGCCCGAGGGTACCAAAATCACGAAATCCGGCCGAAGCAGCGCAAGCGTGAAACAGGCGACTACAAGAGGGAATGCACGAACGAGATCCGGCGGTCGCTGGTTGGACAGCGGCGTGGAGAATCACAGCGACCTTGGCAAGCTTGGCCGGGTAAGCTGGTCTCTCTCTCTCCATTAATGTCAGGCCCTCGACGAGTGCTTACTGGTACTCGACAAGAGCTGAAGATTCCCTTCTAGGACGGGGAGGGGTCGCTCGCGAGGGTGGCCATGGCCAACTCGGCGTTCCGGACGATCTTGGATTGGAAGATGACCGTGATACGGATGATCGAGGCTGCTTTCCGATATTGACCGTGTAAAATTCGAACCGTGAAAAGACCCCATCATTGCAAAACGAAGATCAGAAATATAAGGTGGCGCCACCAAAAACGCCGTCAACTGCACAGGCTGCAGCTATAGCTATAGCAGAGCTATTTTAGGGGAGGCTGGCCCGTGGGCGACTCTTGACATGAACAAGAGCCCGCTAATTGTTCATGTACGGACCAGTTTGCGAGTGGTCTTTCCGCCTTTGACGCACGTCTCGAAGTGGTTGACAGCACCTTCCCACCTTTGATTAATTTACAGAAAGCGCGAGCCGACCTCCTTCCAACCCCGTAACCCAAGGATAGCACTACCTTCCAGTGTACGTATGCCAGCAGTACACTCGACCTTGGCATTAACCCCACTGTGCACTAACCCCACAGCAACACGATGCTCGTAAATAGCAACACGAAGCCTAGATGGCATCCACTACTGAACACGAACAAGCTTGACCTCGATCTCAAATTAAAGATTTGGGTTGAAAGTTTAATTACGATCATTCTTTTTCTGTGGGTATGAGGAACGGGGAGCTATCTCTACCCTGCTTGAGCTTGCTTCAGTTCCATCGCTTTAGAGACAAGGCTCGAAGGATCAAATGAAGCCTGTTATCGAGCCCCATCACGCCAAAGCTCAATCGTCGCCAAGCCACTCGCAAGAGCACGAGCGAGCTGCTGCGCAGCTTGCTTCCCTTTCGGTCAATCCACTGCGCGGGCGGGTAGAGATGCGTATTAACCGTCTGCCCCCAATCGGACGCCGGTTCAATCGGACTGGGGCTGGTCTCTTTCGCACGACCAGCCAATCGCACCCAGCACAAGCCAAGGATTTCCACCCAGGAGATTGGTCCGTGATACCTTGGCGACCTTCCCCCAGCCCCAAAAACTCCCCGCCAGCGTGCACGAGTTCGTCCTCCCATCCATGTAAGCGCCTGGGGCCAAGATAGGATTCATCCATCGCGGCGCCCCCATCCCTTGTTGGGAGAGCCAGGCTGTCCACCGAGCGCCGAACTGATGCTAGGTCGGCGATGCAAGGCACAAATCTTGACAGTTTCAGATATCTCACTCTCACTCGAAAAGGCACTAAAGGATGAAGAGGTGCGGTGAGCAGAGGATGTGCTCCATAGTTTAGACTCGAGCGCATCGTCGTAGCATCCGCAGCAGGCACGCAAGGATACCTCCTGGAGGATTGCTTTCGGGGCCGGAAGCCAACTCCGTGTACGTTCCACCACTTCTTCATGGAACTTTTTTTTTTTTTGTTCGCCGCCCAGTTGATCTTGGTTGATGAGAGGGCTGGCGCGGAACCGTGGCCCAACCCCACCTTACGAAACACCCCGCCATGCCATAGATTGATCAATTGATGCTTTGAGGAGACGAATACACGCTCACGCTTCGCTCTGGTCCCTTTGTTCAATGTTGGCCCCCTGCCTCCTCTGTGGATCGTGCGGGGTGGACAAGGAAAGGAAAATCGATTCTCTCTCAATGGCATATCGACATTCTCGTTAATGTAGGGGGCAGGAGTTCGGCAGTCCAACATTCACACGTCGTGGGTTGCGACGCTTGGTCGAAGGGTGTCGACGGCATTGACAACGCGCAAGCAAGTGATCGACCAAGCAGACCCGAGTGTCATGCCTGCGGTCTGTGTGCTTTTGCCGGGTTTTCCTGCCATGATTCTTCTCTTTTCAGCTTTTGAAGGGTTTTTCTTTTCTTTTTCTCGCTTTGTATATCTTTGTGGATTTTGTTTCGTTGCCCTTGCTACTTTTTTTTTTTCTTATTTTCCGAAGTTTTCACTTCCTTGTGCTCTTTTGTTGATTCCGACGCAACTGCTTGCTCGATTCGCCCAAGAGCTTTCTTAGCACATGGGATGCAGGGATTGTGGTGGTGGCAGTGACCGATCCCAAGAATCCTCCCACCGATTAATCCCACCACGGACATGAACCAAAATCTGCGGTCTCCGTCTGGTCTCGGTCCCGATGTCACCATCAGTGCTTTCGCGTTCCATCTCCACATTCAACGCGGAGATCTGAAAGTACGCCTCGCGATAGACTAAACTTGGGTACGTTCAAAATGGTTTTTATTTTGTCTTTTCCTTTACTGGGCGTAATCTACCTCTGTGATGTTCCGGGACGCTGCGCGCTTACCGACTCATCTCGCCGCGCTATTCTATTCAAAGCTCTCCACAATCGCCCCGGAAAACTACATTGAAGAGACGAAAATAAAAACCACCCCTCTTTTCTTACGGTGATCATCCACGGAGATACTCCGTGCGCCGACACAGAAACCCGATTAGTGCCCGCGCTTTGCTTCTGTTTTCCTTCTCCTCCTCGTGGCACCTTGAATAAGATGAACATTGAAGAGACTGCAGTTCCACCAGCTCTGCAGCTTCGAAATCCGACTCCTTCTTTTTCGGGTGCGCTGTTCCATTCGTGGCCAACGTCATTCGCCACGCGCCAGCGCTTGTTTCTAAATTGGGAACGGGCTCCATTGACACACCAAAAGCAACTCTGCACAGCCTCCCGCACTGCGCTTGTTGGGAGCTAGCGAGTAGCAAGGCTCGAAGCCCCCTTTGCGAGCGAGGTCCAACGGACAAGATCTGCATAATGGGGAGCTAAGCTCTTAGGCTTGGGCTGACTTGGGATAACAAGTCAGATAATATAAACTGCCCTGTCTATCTCCATTTTACCTATTGATAGATCCATGGCGATTGTGAAGAAGAAGAAGAAGTAAGCCCGGACCCTTGGGACCCTTGTAGCCCTAACGTCCACTCGCGAACCAGGAGCCGTGCGTTCGTTGAGAGTACATGAATCGCCCTTGTTCTTGTCCCCAAGAATAGAACAAACCAAAGAACACTCATCGGAGAAAAACATTGATTAGATTAGCATCCACTCGCTCCCAGAGGTTCATCTTTTCCTTTTCCATCGTGCTAAGGGTCTCGCTTCCGCTGCCGAAAAAGATGGATAGCGAACAAGCGACGCAACCGCCGCAATAGATTGCTTTTCCATTTCTTTGCACGTTTTTTGTTCCTTTCCGCGCTCGATCACTTCGCGATACTATTCGGAGAAGCGCCAGATCACGGGTAGAATCGTGGCCCCGCTTTCGAGCATGTGCATCTTCCCAGATTAGAAGCGACAAGATATCAGATTTATCGCGGAGATGCTCCCCGTTGCTGTTGGGCGGCACCTTGAAGCTCCGGGCGCGGGCTATTGATCGTTCCATGAACGTGTAAGAAATGCAGAGGCAACCTTTCGACTGGGTTGCCATGTCGGAACTTGACGGGTCGGCTTCTATACCTATAAGGCTACTAATAGAAAGGATAGCAGAGAAGAGAAAAGCGGAGGGATCACTATCGCCGGTAAACTGAAGTACCTCGATATACAGAGGCAGGCAACCAGATGCCCGAGTGTTGCGGGGGCCGGCTCAAGATCTAGAAATAACACAAAAATAGAGGGGAAACCGGAGAATGAAATCAAGGCAAAAACAAGGCAAAAAGTCTCCAAAATCGTGTCCACCAGTGTAATGCTCGGAATATGATATCCGGATGTCTTCGCCATCAGCCCCCAGCTTCATCCCGACATCTTGCCTAGGGAGTGACAGCGTCGCTTAACTCGGGTCTCGTCATACCCGTAGGCATCCAATGGTGTGCCAAGGCCCAAACTGCGTGCTGCTGTGTCCGGGTCATAAGGGAAGAGGGATGGCCCCGACAGCCGAGGGTACGAGTCGGTTTTTCGGCGGAGGCAACGCGGCTGCTCTTCACTGAGTATTCTATCAATGTGTTTCTAGGCCTGCTTGCTACAGGTCACGACGGTACATGGGTGAAGAAACCATCTCATAGCCTCCTTATCGATAGACTCGCTTAAGAGTGCACATCGGTGTGGGAGGGGCTGTCACTCCCCGAGGAGCCTTGTCGGGCGACGTTCAGTTGGGCGAGGTAGGACAGTCCCACCCTTTCGTCTGCCGTCTCAGTCGGACTAGACAAGAGCTCCGCCACCCCTCCCGGCCCCCAAAGGTTCAATGTTGTGACAGACAATGTGATGTCGCCTAGATTTCAAAGTGCAAGACAGTTTACGCATTCGATGCCTCAGAATTCGAACAAAGGCCGGTCCTCGCAACTTCTTTACAGTTCAAGTAGCTGTGTGTGTGTGTGCACAAGGCTCGGTCGTCGCACGGGAAAGAAACAACGGTGAGATCGGAAAGGAGATATTTGTAAATATGAATGACAGGTTGAGTATTGCGAGTCCTTTCCCATATTCCCAAATGATGAATACCCAGTTCCCGGCCTTTGCACAAATAAAACTCAAAATGACATGGAAAGCGGTGCAGAGACAAAACTAAGGAAATGAGAGTAAGAGAGAGAGGAAAAGCTATCTCGTAATGACCCAAAATAATGTGCGACTGCCCCGGGAACCTTGATTGAACAAACCAAACGTACAGATATCCTTCAAACTCCAGTGACCCCGTAACCTCGTCCAGTCCAAGTCCATAAACCTCACATTCTCCTCACGCTTCATCAACCACCCCCATAAAAGCCCCAGCACGCTCAGGCCCAGACCTTGTTGAGCAGCCACTCGCCCATGAGCTTCACATACGCCTCCGTCTTCAACACCGCGTCCTTGACGCCCACCTCATCCCCCAAGACCGAGCGACCCACCTGCACATCGAAAGCGTGCACCTGATCCGGCACGAGCAGCCACCGCACGCTACGGCCCTGCGCATCGCTCTCCTCCCACGCAAAACGCGGGTCCTCGAGCTCCAACTTGCCCATCTCCGCCGCGGGCTCCGGCCGGCCCGGCACGGTGTTGAAGCGCGGATCATCCTGCTTGCCGGCAAGCTTCAGCGCGAGCTGATGCGCCTCGCAGACGAGGAAATCCAGCTCGGCGCCAATGACAAAGACGTGCCGGGGCAAGTGGTCGCGGGGCGCGAAATACGGGGAGAGCAGCGGGTCACGCAGGTCGGTGCCGACTTTAATGTAGGCCCAGTCGAAAATGGGCGCGAGGCCGAGGATCCAGTCCTTGCGCTGGGCGCGGATGCCGCCGAGGGAGGACCCGACCTTGTACTGGCGGCGCTTGGCCTTTTCCTCGGGGGCACGGCCAATGTGGTGGCGGGGTAGATGGGCACGATGGCGCTGGGCGGGGCGCGGGGGTGGTTCCGGACGGAGTCGACCTGGCTGAGGCCGAGGGTGAGGTTGCCGCCGGCGCTGAAACCCGTGACGGCGATGCGGGCGGGGTCGATGGGTAGGGATTCGTCGTCGACGGCGGCGACGTAGAGGGCGGCGACGTCGGTGATGGCGGTGGGGAAGGGGTACCAGGGGCTTTGGAGTAGTTGAGGGAGATGACGAGGAAGTGGTGGGTGTCGGCGAAGTGGCGGTTCCATTCGTCCATTTGCGCGGCGTTGGCGAGGCAGAAGCCGCCGCCGTGGATGGTGAAGAGGGTGGGGAGGGTTTGGGGCGAGGTTTGGTCGTAGTTGGAGGGGAAGAAGATGCTGTAAGGAGGAGAAGGATTAGGACGGCACTGGTTAGACACGGCTTGCTTCCTTTGCTTCGGAAGCGACTCGTCTTTTGCTTCGTTTCGTCCAGGTCCACAGGAACTCATGAAGAGGGAAGGAAAGGACTTACCGGACGGGTAGGTTCTGGCGGATGTCGTAGGTCTTGACGATATTCGGGCCCTTTTCCGGAGGGTAGAAATATTGCTGCCAGCCCTGGTACCATTGCCCGTGGGCGCCCATGCCTTGGAGCACGCTCATCACGGAGGCATAGTAGGCTCGTGTGAGGAGCGGCAGCGGCTCGGCGACCGTCCGCATGGTGTCGTTCCACGTTGGCTGCTCCGAGTCGGCCATGGTGTCTGGTTTATGTATATCTTTAAAAAAAAAAAATGAACGTAGCAAGGGCACCTCGATAAATGTTAGGACGAGGTCGGACTTGAGCTTCTCTCGATCGGTGAGGAAAGCGTCAAAGGATGAGTTTTTGTCGGGGATAGAGTTGCGCACGCGCGGAGAGGGGACCAAGCTTGATCTAGCTGCTCCCGGGCCGTGGTGGTGCGATGCGGGGTTGGTTCTTTTTAATATCGGGTCAATCAAGCTGTCGAGTCTCAGGGAGGAGCTGTCAGTCAGTTGATTGTTCCACTTCCCCAAAGCGCCAGCTGATGTATTCTATCGTTCCTTCGCCAGATGCGATCCCGCGCTAGAGAGTCAGAGTCCGGTAGTTGGATCTCGGAAATCTACCCCACTTCACGTCGCAGAGAAGAAGCACGAGGTCTCACGATTCCAAGTCGTAGCTGCCAGGAGTTTATTTCGAGTGCGTGAATGGTTCAACGTAACCTGAGATAGTCATTCCTGAGAATTGATGTTGGAGAGCTTGTGGAGGTTAGGAAAAATGAATGAAATTGTTGGGAGCACTGCAAAATAGCAAGGCTGGGAAAGAGCTTGGCTGATCAAGCTCGGTTCGACGAGGCCAGCCAAGCAGAGGCAAACAAATCAGCTGGCTCGCATGAAATAGCCGGTATCAGAATATTTCAAGTGGCGCTGAGCCACCCTGGTCATCTTGCCTCTTTTGCCTCTCCCCTTTTGGGTGCGTGCCCAACTCCCGTTTCTTCTCTCGAGCGTTTCGAAGAGTCGATTGGTTAATCCCCGATCGATTTACCGACTTTACCCTTTTCCCCCTGAGAAGCGCTGGCCATCTCATCATCTTCGGTGCGGTTTCCTGTTCCCCTGTGCAGATGGATCAAGTGGCAATGAACACGTGGGAAGCGATTAATCGTTCTCTCCTCTCACCCTTGTTTTGTAAGGAGAGGCTTTGACCATTGAAACAATTGTGGGCAATCTCTCGTCACCGCCATTCTTCGCTAGGCTTCAACAAATAACCCTGTCCGTAGGTGCCTCCTGCTCCGTGGACACCAGGGCCGGTGTTTACAGCATTGGTATCGACCACGGCGCTTAAGGGGTTTGAAGTCAGAGAAAGCCAGCGCCCTAGACAAAACACAGGGGCATCTCTTGGAAGAACAAGAGAATGGGGGTATGGGAGTAGCTGCAGTCTGAGGCAATATCACAGGCAAAGATTATCAAAAGTACATGTAGGCACATGGACAGCTTGGTTACGAAAACAGAGACCTGAAAGGCCTTATTCAGACTATAGACTATGACCTGTAAAACCAATAACCCCCGCGATGAACCTTTCTCACCAGTCCCAGCCCTACTCGACAGGCCAAAAGGTCTTTCGCGACCAAACCCGAATCTGGCGCCCAAAGACGTAGCAAGGAATCCCAACCAGCGAAAAGACACCGCACACAATGGCAAGGTCGCGCATCGCACCCTCGTATCCCCTCGTAGTGACCCAAGGCACGGTCGCATAGCTCAAACCGAAGCTGATGAAGCCGCGACCGGCCGCGACGACGAGAAGTAAAGGTCCCGCCTGCGCGGGCCAGCTATCGAGGACGTAGGTGATGCCGACGGTGTTGGCGCCGAGGAAGGAAAACAGGCCCGCGGCATAGGGATGGCGATGCCGGCCCAAGACCAAGTCTCGCGGTTGGACGCGGTGCGGCCGTAGATGACGCAGGACACCACGGCCACGATGGCGGGGAGGATGGCGCCGACGAGACGGTACTCTGGCTTGTAGATGCCGCGGTTCCGGCGGCTCATGACGCGAATCACCCAGTCGGAGCCGTAGCCGAGCACGGGGAGGGCGACGAGGTTGGCGATGATGAGGGCGAGCTGGACGAAGCCGAGGAACTCGAACTTGAAGGAGTAGGGCGGGCTCATGAGGAGCGGGGCGAAAGTGGAGGAGTGGAAGACGTAGACGCCGAGGAAGGCGCCGTTGAGGAGGAGGAGCCAGACGATGGAGGGGATGCAGAAGGACTGGGCGGTGACTTTGTAGAAGGTTAGGGTCTTGCCCCATCGGGGACGGAAGTGGAAGACGCGGAGGTCGTCCTTCCAGGTTCTGGGGGCGTAGCGGGTGAGGTCGAGGGTGTGGGTTGATTTGGTTACGACGGGGACGGTCTTTTCGTCTTTGCTGCCGGAAGTGGTGCCGGGTTCCTCTGTACGCGGTGCTGTTAGCTTTTCAACCCTCCCGGAAGAACAGAAAACGAGATGAGAGAAATGGTGGGATGAGGGAGAGGAAATTTTCAATGTAAGTGGGGGATCGTCCTAGTCTTGAAAGAACTTACCGTAGTCATCGAGGTTCCTGTCGTACATGGTCTCGGGAACCAAGAAAAAGGCAGCAATAAAGAGAACCCCGTTGATGATGGTAATGACACCATACCACCAGCGAACCCCCAAGCAGAGACGAGGTACGTAGTCGCCACAAACATGCCGCCGGTGCCGATACCCTGGATCGCCGCGTTCCACGTAGCAGCGGTACCGCGCTGGTGGAGGAAATGCACCTCCTGCACCATGTACGCGACCAGGGCCTCGCTCTGGCCCGCCGCCATGGAAAGCACATCGCGGCCGGCAATGTGCGAGGACAGGCTCTGGGAGCAGGCGCACCAGATACCAGAAGCGACCATGATGACGAGGGAGATGAGGAAAACCGGTCGACGGCCGAGGGCGACGCACAGCGGCATGGCGAAGAGGTTGCCGATGCCCATGAAGAGGGTCGGGTAGGTGAGAAGATCATTAACGCGCACGGCGTCCTCGGGAGGGTACATGGCCGTGACTTGGGTGACGATGGCGCCCATGCCCGAGGTGGCGAGGACGGCGATGGCGGAGTAGAGGCCGACGATGAGGACGATGGCGTTCTTGCGCCAGCGGGGAGGTTTAGGGGATCTATGTGAAGAAGAGCTTAGTTAGTGGCTGATCCGAGTCGAGAAACAAAAAAGGCCCCGCCGCTGCGATTGTGTCGTTGTCCGAGAGGGTTGTCTTACCTTTGGGATCCCGGCTAGGGGTGGGGATGAGGGTGATGTCCTTGGAGTCGAGCAGTTGAACGGTGCCGGCCTCACAGGTACGGATGGACCCAGATCCACCCTCCTCGAGAGTCTCGATGGTGGGCTTTTCATTCTTGGTGTCTGCCATTGTGTGCGTCGTTGTCATCCCTGTTTGGGGGAAGAAAGAGGCGACAAGGTCAAAGGGAGGTAGGCCAAAGAGAGAAGGGGAGTTAAAGGGGGAACGGAACGACAGGAGCAGAACAGAACTTTCGATAGAAAGTTCCCTGCTTTACCTGGTTCCAACGATCTATATTGGAAGGGGGTGAGATGAAAAGAAGACCAGGACATAATCTCAAAAGAAAAATAAACTTCCTCCTGATGTCGACGTTCCATCCAGCTTCTTATATGCTAGAGAGATGCCTCGACACTCCGGGGGCGCCGTACCCCAGACAGACGCACTTGCTGGCTCCGTGCAAGGGTTAAGCTCCAGGGCCCGGGTCCATGACCATGGGCGACGTTTGCCTCCTCCGCATTCAGGGAAACCAAAATGGGGTTTTCGCGGAGAAGCAAGAGAGAAAGGGAGAGAAAAAAGAAGGTTGCGGTTAGTTGCGTGGGCGGAAATGCCAGAGCGCACACGCACACACACACATCCACCGCCCAGCTCCACTGCTCGATTCCGCGGCACGGTTCGGAAGTGGTCTGGCCCAATGACAAGAAAAGGGTGGGCAAAATGCTGGGGAAGCAGTGCGGAGTCGAATCTGGGGAAATACCAAAAGGCAAAGGGGGATGGAGCGTGCGAGGGTGTCTGTCTGCGAGTGACGCACCCAATCGGCAGATGAGACCATCCCCAATCGAGTTAAACGTCGTGCCCACTTCCTTTGGGAAACCCCATTCACTACTGTGATCCTTCCACTGTTTTGCATGTCCCCTTTTCCCCGTCTTCTTTGGTCTTGTGTTTCTCAAATCAACTCTGAGGTATGTTTGGGGTACACTAGGATCAATCCAGGGTCCATGCCGACAGATCCATCCCAAGCAATCAGAGCGCCCCAGATTCCAATCCGAGGTTGTCCTTCTTCTTTCCCCCACAAGTCCCGATTACCCCAACCCTTGTCCCACCACGAGCTCCCGGCATCCCCCACACGATGCGAACAAGGGAGAGGGGCCGCTTGGGGAGAGAATTCGCACAATATTAACTCTTTCAGCCCCCAAAACTCCTGCTCCCCTAGTTGGAATTTCTAGATTCCGGCGGTTTGGTGAACCTTGCGCAACCCGAACCGGACAACAGACAACGAGCACCAAAAACCCACGATTGGATACCAACTGTTTGGTTACAGAATGGATGCGACTACCATCAAGAAGGGATCCAAGAGGAGAAGGCTGAATTTTGCCTGTGATTATTGTAAGCCCCAGCCCTTTTATCATAATTTTATCCTAGGCCCTGTTTCTCATCACCGGCCGGCATCATTCTGCCACGGTCAAACCACTCCGGCCCGGCTTGGGTCGGGCCGGAGTCCGGTCTGCACCCTTGCTTTTCTTGGCCATGGATCCGTCAAGCCCTGTCCGCATCTCGTGTCCCTAGCCCCAGCTCACCGCAATAACGCAGGCCGAGCCAAAAAGTCCGGTGCGACGAGCAGCGTCCCTCCTGCCACGCCTGCCTCGTCGCCGGCATCGAGTGCAGCACCACAGACAAGCGCCGCCCCGGAGTCCCAGTCGAGCGCCGCACAGCCGGAACCCAGCCCCGCTCCCCGTGCCCAGCCTCGCCAGGACATCTCTACCACCACTGGCCCCCGTCTCAGCAGAGCGACGAACACCAGGCCCCGCCTCGTCGGAGCCGGAGACGCAACCACCGCCGCGCGCCAGCATCCCGACCCCCAAGTCCGACTCGGCCGCCCAAAGAAGTCCTCTGCCCTCGAGCAGAAATGAGTCCGATTGTGCAGACGACACCTCGGGCCGCTTTTCCGGACGTCTCCCCATGGTCCCGCGGATCAGTGGGAGTAGCATCCTAGAGATTCACACGGGTTGGCTCGAATTAGCCTTCCACAGGCTAGGCATCGGATGCGGCTTCAGCTCGCTGCTGTCGAACAAGCACCCGCCGTCCTCCAACCCCGCGAGCATCACCTTGACATTGCCGCGGATCCCACCTGAATCGCGATGTCGCGATGCCATTGCCAGCTACTTCGCCACCATCCACATCTTATACCCCATCCTCGACCCAGCCGCCATCGACGAAGCCCATAAAAGTGTGCTCGTCCTCGGCCCCGCCGGCATGATTGAAGCCGACCGCCTCCCCGAGCTCCTGCTCCTCTACCTCGTCCTCGTCTTGGGATCCGCCGAGACCGACCACTTGGTCGACTCCTCCGACCTAGCAACGAGCTACATCGGCTTCTGCGAAACCATGCTCGGGCACGCCCTAGGCTGGGGCACCTTTGACACCGTCCGCATCACCTTCCTCCTCGCGCTCGCCCTACGTCGAGCCGACAAAATCACCTCCGCGTGGCCCATCACGGGCCTCTGCGTCTCGGTCGCGCAAATGCTAGGCCTGCACCGGAAACGCTCGAGCGGCCGGCGCAGCCCGGAAGCCATGAGCGACGAGGCCGACCAAGCCCGCCGCCGTGCGTGGTGGAGCATCTACGCCTTTGAGAATTTGTTTGCTTTTGAGATTGGTCGGCCCTCCGCCATCCAGGACCTCGAGCACGACCAGCTCGAACCCGAGGTGTCTGCGTCGGACGGGGGCCGGCATTACCGCTATTTCGAAGTCGTTGTGGGCCTCGCGCGGACTTTATCCCAGGTGAATAAGCGGAGCATCCAGGCCCGGGCCCGGGAGGAGCGGGCTGGGGGAAGGGTTGCAGAGTGCTATCCGGTTCAAAGTTGCGACTACGGGGAGGTGATTCTCCTGTTGATGCAGTGGGCTGAGGGTCTTCCCGAAGGGTTGCGGCCGAGGTCTGATCTTTGTGCGGGCCGGACGAGTTTCCTTTGGCTGCTTTCGTGTCTATTCAGTACCACAGCGCGTACGTTTTCGAAGCTCTACGCTCATCTTTTCGTCTGCTAACACTGTCTTGTAGGCTCATCATGACTATGCGAAACAGGTTCCTCATCAGCGATGCGGCCGTTCGCGTCGCCGTGGAGGACCACGCCGCAGGACAGCCGTGGAACCACGTTATCCGGGATGGCCAATCCATCGCGGCCAATTGTGCTCGTAACATCATCAAGATCTTGGTTGAGGGCCATGACCGCGGCACGAGGCCGGCTTTGCATACGGCTACAGCCCCATTACAAGCACTTTACGTCTTGTCCATGTATTTGCTAAGGCACCCGGCCTCACGACTCGCCCCTTCTGATATCAACGTAGGTTTCTTTCTTTTTATTCTTTTTAATGGGCCTGTCACGAAACTGAGGCTGACATTGCAATATTAGCTTATTCACAACGCTGGTGATTTCGCACTCGAATATTACGAGCGGTTCGGTGCCCAGACCAAGGTTCAGGGTATCGTCCGCGTTCTCGACCAGGAAGTAGCTCGCGCCGTATCCACGGCCCAGCCGAAGACCATTGCCCGGACCCCGATGGCACCTCCTCCCCCTCTTCGTCTTCGTCCATCATCCCAAACACTCCTAGTAGCGTATCACAGCAGACCCCGCTCGGCGTTACCCACGTGCTTCCTGATCTACCGCCAGGGATCCTAGAGATGCAGGCGGGCGTTCCGATGACGATGCCGGATATTGCGTGGTCGCCGGCGCTGGCGGATGAGATTGGATGGGACTGGGGTGATTTTAGTCTGCTCTTTACAGAGCCAGGGATGTAATGATTTGTTTATCTTTGGAGGTTCTGGCGTTTCGTGTACAACATGACATTCAGGATGGCTTAGTCCTTGCACAACAATTGAACATTTAAGTTTTCAGCACAAGACTACTCTTATTATCCCCACCCCAGTTAAGGCCGTCCAATATTGCCGACATACCCTCATTGCCACTTCTTGATCCTACATGTAAGAAACAATAAATAGAGGGAATCGACATCTTCTATGAAATTCACATAACAGCTGAGCATGAAACTTTGAGCGTGTGGTCATAATATTTCTTATTTCATTCTTAGCTCGCCGCAAGTAGGCTGTGTACTTGACTTATATCTCATCTTTCTGCCCTAAACGAACTCTTCTAATTTCATTTCTAATTTACATCAATTCCCTGACACAATATCTTTTCTTAGGGAGTGTCCTTCTACGCAACCGTCTGAATATAAGGGATACCAGTCAGCTTGTAGCCCCTCTCAGTCAGGTTGACGGGTTGCCTAGGCTTAAAGTCGTTGTAAGGGCAAGGCTCGCCGTTGAGCCTCTTGATGGGAACGCCACCAATGTGCATGGCATTCGGCCAATGGGTAGTGCTCTGGGTAGTCTCAAGGGCACCCTTCTTGCGGACAAGCTCCTCTTGAGTGGCCTCGGTAACGGGCATGTAGCAGGTGTAGGCGCAGAACCTGGCGCGGTCACCGGTAGGGGAGACATTGTAGTGGGGCACGCGAGAGTCCCAGAGGATGAGGTCACCGGGCTCGGCATTGACCTTGACCCAGCGGCAGCCCTTGTCGGCGAGCCACTTCATGCCGGCGTCAGTGAAGCCGTACCACTCCTTGGTCCAGGCCCAGATCTTGTCAGGCTCGCCGCGGAATGCATTATGGAACTCCTCGGAAAGCAGGTGGGCGCCCTCGCAGACGATGAGGCCCCCATCGTTGTCACCGTTGGGGAGGATATTAACGAGACCCTGCAGGCAGCGGAAGCCGGGCTTCTCGGGATCCTGGTCCTGATGGGGCCAGGGGGTGTTGGGCTTGAGGTCCTTGCGGTGGGGGAAGGTGAAGTTGACGCCGTCAAAGGAGACGATGAGGTCGTCGGTGTCGTAGACCTTGGCGAAGGCGTCGACGACGCCGGGTTCCTGGCGGATGCCCCAGGTAAAGGACTCATGAGCGACGCCGTAGCCGAGGCACATGCCCTTTTCGTTGATGACGGGCATCTTGGCCTCGACGTGGGTGGACGGGTCGTCGCGCTGGAAGCCGAGCCCGCCCTTGAAGGTCTCGATGTACCGGAACATGTCCTCGGCGTAGGCGTCGGCGCGGTCGCGGGGATGGCGCCCTTGACGACGGCGTAGCCTTGGCGGAGGAGGTCGTCCCGGAAGTCGCCAAACTTGGCGTCCAGGTCGTTGAAGAGCCGGTTCGGGCCCGCGGGCTTGGCTACGAGGCCAGCGGGGAGAGGTTGAGCTTCTGCTCGGTGGAGGTGATGGTGGTAGTCATGGCGAAGGAAGAAGGGGTGGTATAAGAGGGGAAAAAGGTGAACAAAAAGTGCGATGGTTCTGTGAATGGCTTAATCCTCTTGTTAACTCTTTTTGCGGAAGGAGATGAGGATGATTTGAGTATGATGTTTTGTGAAGTAGATGTGATTCCAAGGGGATGTTTGAAGCCTATTTAATCTTGATTCCGAGAGGGTATCCATTCTCAAGATGCTTGAAAAGGAAGACTACAATCTATCTCATGGCCTGATGGCAACGCCTACTCACTTGCTCTCTCGGCCCGGTTCACAAATTCTTCGACCCAGCTGATCCCCTCTTCGTCACGGAGCCTTTGTGACTGTGGATCTAGGAGACACCCATCTCGGAGACTTGGGCGGTGCCTCCTGGTTTTTTCCCTTCCTCTCGGTTCGGCTCAGAAAGAGCGAGCCGTGGTCGAGCCCCTAGCAACCCCCAGGAGCCCTCATTCCTGGAGAAGATGGAGAAACAAAGAGATCAAGAGGAAAGGGCTAGGTAGGAGACAGCCTCTGTGCCGGGATCTCGGCGTCGTGACTATGAGGAACCATCTCCGCCGGCCCCGCCCGGAATGTGTCCGGAATCACAACCAATCGGAGTCTCGCTGGCCCCCAATTTCTCCAAACCGTCGGTTCGGCAGCGATTTTTTTGGCGTGGTTTCCGGAATCTCAACCAATTGAACTTGAAGGGTCGTTAGCGTGCATTGTCCGCTTGCAACTCGTTGTCCCAGTCACCATGCGACTAATATCACTAATACACCTGCACCCCACAATCCGGGGTTTCGAGCGGCGCATCTCTCGGCCGGGCGGCATCTCTTTGAACCCATCATGTCCATTCCGGCAACATCCTCCTGACTACCTTCTCTTCCCCGCCCCCTCTCTCGAATCCTTACCGTTAGAGGTCCACGTGTCGACGAATCATGGCCTGCGAGTTAACAATATTTCCACCCTTTGAATGGTGACTCCGCTCCATAGTCATGAGTCCCCTGCCATACTCCGGGCCAAGGTGGAGGACCTGAGCCCCGGAATCTAAGAAGTGACATGCCGCGGATGCACATAGAGATCTACCGCACTTCCTAGCCTTTGAACGAAAGTTGGGGTAAGGTTTGGGGTAGTCGGGGGCCCGAGGTGGAAGCGAGGGTCCCCGCATCTCATTAAGAAAAGCGGAAGAATCAGTCGTTGTAAAAACACCTTTGAACATGGGCCTTTTGACCCCTCCAAATCTCTCATCCTCGTCGTTTCTCGTAGGCTGTATCCTCTTGTCCTAGCCCTCATACCACTCATCAGCTTGTCCTTCTCCCACTTTCTCCCATCGTCATCCTGGCAGCCAGACAGATAACAAGACTGCACACATACACACCCACTCGTCACACATTCACACTCACCGGCGCCATCAGAACCATGGCTTCCAAAGCGCCCACGGCACCCATCGTGCCCATCAATGCCCCCAAACCCGGTGTCGGCGGCTACCAGCCCCTCAACCCGCGCACCGAGGTCCTCCCCGCAGGCTGGAACGGCTTCGACTCGCGGCCTCTCCCCTCCCCCATCCTCGTAGAGCACGACGTCGCCATCCCCATGCGCGATGGCAAGATCCTCTACGCCGACGTATACCGGCCCCCTCCCGGCCCAGATGACGCGCCCGCCGCCCCCGTCCCCGCGCTTCTCTGCTGGAGCCCGTTTGGCAAAAGTTCAACGGCCTCATGTCGCTGAAGCTCATGACCCCGTGGAACCTGGGCATCCCCGACGGCACCTTGAGCGGGCTAGAAAAGTTCGAGGCGCCCGACCCGGCCGACTGGGTGCCGGAGGGCTACGCCATCGTCAACATCGACTCCAGGGGCTCGGGCCACTCAGAGGGCACCATGGTGATTATGGGCACGCAAGAGGCCGAGGACGGCTACGACGCCGTCGAGGACCTCGCGCGGAGACCTTGGTGCAACGGTAACGTGGGGCTCGTGGGGAACTCGCACTTGGCCATCGTGCAATGGTTCATCGCGGCGCAGCGACCCCTAGTCTCAAAGCCATTGCGCCGTGGGAAGGTTGCGGAGATTTGTACCGCGAGCAGTTTGGCCGCGGCGGCATCTACGCCGGCGACCTGTTCGACAACCTCATCGTGCGGTACATGCTCAACGGCCACAACGGTATGGAGAGCTTCAAGGAAATGTTCAAGCAGCACCCCTTGCCAATGACTGGTGGAACGACAAGAGACCCGACATGAAGAAGATCAACGTGCCCACGTACATTACCGGCACGTGGACCAACACCATGCACGGCATGGGCGCCATCCGCGGCTGGCTCGAGGTCGATACTCCGGATAAGTGGCTCCGGTGGCATCCTTGGCAGGAGTGGTACGATCTCTGGGGGAACCCCCAAGCCAAGGCCGAGCTTTTCCAGTTCTTCGGTCGCTATCTCAAGGGCGAGGAGAACGGGTGGGAAAATACGCCCAAGGTCCGCATGGCGCTCCTCAAATTCGGCCAGTCGGACCCCATCGAGAATATCGTCGTCCCCGACTTCCCACTTCCCGATACGGACTACAAGAGCCTCTATCTACAGTCAGATGGGACCCTCGGAAGCGAAGCCTCCAAGGAATCCTCCTTCATTTCTTACAACTCGGAATCGAGCGAGTCGGCGGCTTTCAAGTACACCTTTGCCCAAAAGTCGCAGATCGTCGGCATGCCCAAGGCCGTCCTTTACATGTCTTGCGACGACCACGACGACATGGACGTCTACGTCTTTATAGAGAAGCTCGACAAGGACGGTAACCAGATGAAGAGCTTGAATATCCCCTGGAAGGGAATCCCCGTCCAATCCTTTGACGACTTCACCCCGGAGCAGTCCACCGAGGTGGTGCTGTACAAGGGCCCCGTCGGAATCCTGAGGGCCTCGCATCGCGAGATCGACCCTGCGCGCTCCATGCACACTAATTGGCCCTTCCACCCTCACGAGAAAGAGGAGAAGCTGACCCCCGGTACCGTGGTTAGGTTAGATATTGGCATCTGGGCCATGGGTATCGAGTACGAGGCGGGCGAGAGCTTGAGGGTTCATGTGAGCGGCCGCAGTTTCGCCGTTGCCAACTTTGGGACGCTGGAGCATCTCGACAACAAGGGGACACACAAGGTGCATATAGGCGGAGAGTACCCAAGCCACTTGATTCTTCCATTTGTATCCATTTAGACTTATAGGGAACCGCGTGCGCTATGGGGTGGTATTCACAGTATGACGGCTGGCTTCTTCTGTTAATGATAGATGGTTTCCGTGTAATTATTTCACGTCTTTTCTCGATATTATAGCCCGCATAATGATTCAGTAGAAGCTTGCTATTTTCTAGTTATTTTCTTTTTCTTCATCTTCGCATCTGCCAATACCTAGTTGAAGAGACAGCGTTGTAGGCCTGTGATGGCTGTACATCATTACTGTACAAAGGGAAAATACAAGGGAGTGATAAAGTCACGTGGAGATAAGATATGACATATTCGTCTCAACTCCCCTCCAAACATAATTTGGGAGCTCTTCCGATACCAAGGAAATCTAGCATCTAACTCGTCAAACAACAATATTTATCTGGCTTGCCAAAGGCAACGCCTTTCCGCACCAATCTCCTCCCCGAAGTTTTGATACCCCTTTTATATCCATCCTCGACGTCTGGCGTACGCGAAATTGCCACAGGATCCCAGCATGGATCCGCCGACCATGGACGCGTCCAGGCTAAAGCACGCGGCTGCCTACGACTCGGACTCGTCCGTCGGCTCCGAGGATGACGAGTATCTCATGCCCTCGACGAACCCCTGGGCGACTACGATGGCGAGTTCCGTCCGCGAAAACGGAGACGAACAGGCGGCGGCGCCAACGCAAAGGAGAAGGCTGCTCTGGGCGTGTTCGCCTCCGACAGTGACGACGACGGCCCGGGCCGCCGCTGGAAGAAGAAGACGCTGCGCAGAGCTGGCATGAATTTCGTCTCCCAAGGTGCTGCCAAGGAGGACTCGGAGTCGGAAGAGGACGGCTCATGGGGCAAGCTCGGAGAAAATGAGATGGATGTAGATGAGAAGCCCCCGCGGGGAGGAACACTCGGAGGAGGAGGAGGACGACGACGATGAGGACGACGATATGGAGAATACTGGGCCGCGCGGCCTAGGATTCTCTCGCGGTGGTCTGGGTGCTGGCGATGCAAAGTCGCGCCCCGTGACCTTTGTGACTGGCGCGAAACTACAAGATATGAACCGCGAAGAGTCGGAAGGCGATGACGACGACGATGGCGACGCGCGCCCTACCCTCGGTATGGGGTTCCGCCAGAGCGCACCAAAGAATGGTGGTCTCGGTGCCGGGAAGCCCCCGTCGCGGCCCAACGTCTCTTTCAAGCCCGCGACAAAATCCAATACCAGCAGCAGCAATCCCTTTGGCCGGGGCTTTGTACCCGCTTACGAAAACGAGCCGGTCCTCCGCGACGACTTACCCGACACGCCAACGGTGGTGAGAAAAGCGATGCCGAGCGCGTTCGGCGGCGCCGGCGGGAAAAGTAAGAAGCCCAATCCTAGCTCCTTTGGTGCGAGGATGATGGCCAAGATGGGCTACAAGGAAGGACAAGGTCTCGGAAAGGAAGGCCAGGGCCGCAACATTGTCATCGAGGCGAATCTCCGTCCACAAGGTGTTGGTCTTGGCGCCGTAAAAGAAAAGACGGACCGGGAGCGCAAAGAAGAGAAGCGCCAAGCGCGGTTACGAGGCGAGGAGGTGTCGGATTCGGAGGAGGAACGCAAGAAGGAGCGCAAAAGAAGCTCCAGCAGAAAAAGACCAAGCTCGGCGGCGGGTTCGACAGCGCGACCAGCACGCCCAAGAGGCAGAAGCCCAAGTATATGACGGCGGAGGAGCTCAAGCGCGCCGCGCCGGGTGTCCACATCCCCGAGGCTTTCATGCCCATCCTCGACATGACGGGCCCCGGGAGCAAGCTGGTGACATCCGCCTCCGGCTTCAGCACGCCTACATCAACCGTCGAGTCGGCGGAGGCGGTGGCGACGAGAAAGATCATCAAGCAGGCCCACCGCGACCTCGCGGCATTTTCGGAAGAGTGGCGGAACCTGTCGGAGAGGGATGCTTGGGTGGATAAGAAGCTCGCAGAGTGCGAGCAGGAGATGGAGGATCTCCGGCTCGGATACGAGAAACTACAAATGTTCTCCGAAGTTGTCACGAGCGAGCTACCTGCGGCCGGGTCCGACTGGGACAAGGTAATACAGTGCCTGCACAAGGCCGCCAACGTTGGGCCCTCGACGCCCGAAGCGGCGGCTGTCATCGTGGCGGCGCTGGAGCCTTTCTTCAAGGACCCGGAATGGGATCCACTTCTACAACCATCTCGTTATGCGGCTGACATAAAGGGCCTCGAACCCTTACTTATGCCCGACGCGGACTCTGGCCAGGCGGTCGAGAAGCAAGACTCTACCTTATTCGGAAACACGGACGGGGTATACAGACACCACCAGCGGTCCACGACGCCGTACGAGAGCCTCATGTACCGTCTATGGCTCCCGCGCGCGCTCCGCAGCGTACGCGACTGGAAGGTACAAGACCCCGACGCCCTCATGGCAGTCATCAACAACTGGGACACCCTCCTCCCCTCCTTTGTCCGCGCCGAGCTCATGGACAACGTGGTACGCCGACTCCACAGCGCCGTGACGGACTGGACGCCCCGCACGCGCAAGCAAAACCACCAGCTCCCGCACACCTGGCTCTTCCCCTGGCTCCCCCTCCTCCCCGCCTACCACCTCGACCCACGGGGCACCGGCCTCGTGTCCGACGTGCGCCGCAAGTTCCGCCAGCTCATCGAGGTCTGGGAGTACGAGCGCGGGCCCGTCCCCGGACTCGCGCGCTGGCGCGAGGTCCTCGGCGCCGAGGAGTGGCTCGGCCTCCTCGTCGGCCACGTCGTGCCCAGCATGGCGCGCTACGTCCAGCGCCACTTCCGCGTCGACCCCGCCGACCAGGAACCCTACCTCGCCATCCTGGACGGCGTGCTCCGCTGGGCCCGCAGCGGGTCCGACCACGACGGCGTCCTGCCCACCCGCTACGTCGCCGAGGTCGTCGCCGGCAAAGTCTTCCCCATGTGGCACGCCAAGCTCGCCGAGTGGTTCGCCCTCGGGCCCGACGCTGACCTCGCGGAGATTGCTGCCTGGTTCGAGTGGTGGGACGCGTACTACCCCCGTCCTGTGAGTAAGTTGCTGAGGGGCGAGTTTGAAAAGGGGCTGCTGGCCATGGAGAAGGCGTTGGATAAGATTACGTAGTGTATTTTTGGGGGGGATAGTGTAACAAAGGGCATGGATAACCACGGGGCCCGAGGCATGGGTTTTTGGCCTGTCTTATCCCTCTTATTTTGGTATTTGATGAGAGTCCAATGCTTGGTGAAGACGGCATCGCACTCGCACATTTCCACACACACACACACGCGCATGCGCGCAGGACAGATTTCTTTTTATATCCCAAACCGATAGACTTTTAGAGGGACACATCTCTCATACTCAATTTATAAGACTCAAAATGGAGGGCGGGGTAGAAATCCACAGCCCAACCTTATCACATCCTTTCTCACAACCTTGGCATCTAGTACTGAGTTCGTTCACCTCGCATCACCACGTCTCATATTTGTATGAGGCTAGGAAACAGGCAGAGAGCGGGTAGCCTTGATTCGATTCCCAGCCACGGACAGGACATGAGGGCATTCCCAGTTGATCAATATACCGCATTCGCACAGAGTCACCATGGTAGGAAGAAGGGTCACTCGATCCAGATATAAAAATAGCAGATACAACTAAAAAGACACAGCCTATGATACAAACTCCCAGGGGAAGGAAAAACATCCCAGCACAACTTTCTCACAAGCCTCCCTTCCCTATTCCCCGCTCAACCTTTCCTATATCGCTCCCTCAAGACCCTACCACAACCTCCTCGTCCTTCCTTCATCCTTCATATCAGACGGGTATTCCTATCGAATCCATAAATCCTTCAAGTGCCCCATGTCAATCCATCGCCGTCCAGCTGAAAAGAGGAAAAAGAAATCGACAGGAGAACAACGATGAGGAAAAAGTAAACATGGGAAAAAGAGACAAGAAACAAAAATGCACCAGATCAAGAGAGCAACAAGCACCCCCTTGAATTCCAGTCCATACACGCGTCTTCCACATGATGCACTTCCATCAATACAAAGAGTTTATCAGTTTCCTTCCGCGCTCGTGGTATCCTCATCCTCTGCGTCTTCAGCATCTCTTCTAAATCTCACCACCCACCTCACCTCACCCTCCACACAAACTAGCCTAACGTACAGACATACACGTAATCATATCACACCTCATACCACCACTTCATCATCCGTATCGTCAAGCGTCGTCCGCTTCTTCGCTTCGGTAGTGGTATTGTTGTTGTTGTTGCCGTTGCTATTGTTGGCGCTGTTGCTATTGCTACAGTTGTTGCTGACCTGGGGATCAGGCACGGCGGTCGAGATCGTCTCCGGCCCCTTGGTTGTCTCCTCCGTCGGGCCATCAGCAGGCTTAGACTCGCCCGTCTCTGCATCGTCCGACTTCCCGACCTCTCCCTCGGCGTCATCGGCCTTGCTATTGCCGAAGCTCGAGTTTGTAAACGGCCATAAACCACCAAAGGCGGACTTTTGCCCGATCCCTGACGACGGTGGATGCACCGCAAGTGGCCTCACGACTGTCGGTCCGGGCTTCGAATCGACTTCAGCCATGGCAAAATCGCCAAACTCTTCGTCTTCTTCCTCATCCACTTCGTCCGAGTCATTAGTGTCGCGGTCATTGCCTACCTCCCGCGCAACCACGCTACGCCACCAGCCTCCCCTTTCCGATCTTCCCCAGCCCATATCGGCATCATGGTCATCTTCGTCACTGTCCACCTCGTCCGCGTCGTCGCCAAAAGGGTTTCTGAGTGGCGCGGGAACGGCAGGCTCCGAGTGCGCCGAACCGTCGTTATCCCTTTCAGAATCGCCATTCTGCTGTCCGGCATCCTCCGAGTCCATGGCCGCTGACGCAGCCGCCGTCGCCGCTGCCTGCTGCTGCTGGTGCATCTTGAGCCTCGCGGCAAGTTGGAGTCGAGCCCTCGAAGGCGGAATGTTCAGGGGCGGAGGCGGCGGCGGCGGTGGGGGATCGATGGCGGGTTCAGCGAGGATCCGTTGTTGTTTAGAGGGTCGGTATAGGACCGAAACTATGCAAGTTAGTCTGGACTGCCTTTGCTTGGTAGAAACGACCCAAGACTACGAAAGGCCGACAGGGAGGAGAAGAAAAAAGTGGCCCCTCTCGTCTACTGCGGGGAGTCTTCTGCGGGGAGCGATCCTCAAGCTCGTACCTCGTTATTAATGTCTTCCTCGGTATCTTCCGTCTCGTCCTCTTCCTCGTCGCTAGAGCTGCCAAACCCAGACATCATCGTCCCAGCGCTAATAGCAAAGGGCCGATGCCGTTGCCGCCGTTGTCGCTGTTCAGGTCGAGGCTCCCGTTCAGGCCAGCCTCAGCTAGCGCATTAGAGCCGCCAGATTGAAGACTGTTGCCCAGACCCATCGAGCCCCTAGACCAGAGAGACCCACTCCGGAGAGGCCAGACATGGCTGCGGCTCTGTTGCTCATAGCTACTTCAGGCCTTACGCCGCCAAGAATGGCGTTATCGCGCTCGCGAGTCTCGGCGAGAGATCCCTCCACGTAGTTGACCCAATCAGGGCTCATCACGCGCTCCAGAACAGTCTCGGACAAGATCTCAGGGGATGGCGCTCGGTGAACTTGACGACTTCCTCGGCTATCAGAGTCAGATGTCCCATATAGCCCATCCGCGTCCTGGTCTTGGCCTGCGACTCGTCACTGATTACTTGGCCTCGGATAATAGCGGTGGTGACGTCGGCGGCTTCAAACAAGGAGACGGCTAACGTGGGATTATAGCCCCGATCCATGGGGCCGTTGAAGACCTGCTGAACAACGTCGTAAACCACGTTATGGAGGAAGTTGTTCCATGGGTACTTGAAAAAGAAAGTCTGGAGGTTGGGGGTTAGTTTCCCGCGTTAGTACTCTTCGTCTTATTCCGCAGCTTGGGTTCGCCCGAGGCCACTTACCAAGATTGTCGGCACAACACGGTGCTCAACAAACTGCATCTTCAGATAATCGCCCACCACAGGTTGGATGGAACTGCGCTGAGCTTCAAACGGAGGATCGGGAACAGCTCGGATAATGATGGATTCGACGCCAGCCTCGGCCTGGTCGGCTTCATCGTCTCCTTCCTCCTTTTCGGCAACCATTTTCGATTTCACCGGGGGTCCAGATGACGACGTGGGGGGCGGGCGCGGCGGGTAGGGGTTCATCGTCGGACTTGGTCTCTTCGTCGCTTGAAGACTTGGAGGAATCATCATCATCCCTTATAGAAGCAACTGCAGCTTGCGGGGCTCGGGTGCCTCCAGCTTGGCGGGAGCGTCAGACTTGTTCGAGGCTTCGGGTTCGTCCTTTGTAGCCGGGGTTACGTCGGTCTCGGAGATTTCGGGAGTGGGCGCTTCTCGGGAATCCTGATCAGGAAGGGATTCATTTGCGGTGGTGGTGGCTGGCGTCAACACAACAGAAGAATCAGAAGCATCATCTTGGGCCGAAGCAGTGGTATCAATCGTGGGAGCAGTTCGGGCATCCACCTTGTCTTCTTGTGCAATCTTCTCGTTCTGTGATTCGGCAGTTTCCGTCTTCTCAGTAATGTCCTTCTTCTCCGCGGCGCTGGTGACGGCGGGTGTAGAGTCGATTGAATCAGCCGTTTTCTTGCGAGGGGATAGTGGAGCCACAATAAGATCAGGGTCATCAAACTGTGGGCTTTCGATATCTCCGTCATCCTTGATTAGAAGCCTGGGAGAGCTCAAGGGCTCGTCCACCAGCTCGTCGTCATCCTTGTCGAAGAATGAAGGAATAGGTACAGGGGGTGGTATCTCTTCTTCCGCCTTGACAAACTCGTGCGAGGTATCCTCGTTCATCTCGCGGCTGTGCTCGACTTCTTCAAAACCGTCATCTTCGGCATTGTTGGTCACTTCGAGACGTCGGCTATCGCTATGGGCGGTGTTGTGAGAGAACCTCATGGTGAGCTCGTCAGCAGATGTCGAGGCCTCGTCTTCACGACGGGGGATGAGCTTGCCCTCTCCTCGAAGGCGCTGTCGCTCGATATCGCGGGCAGCGATCAGCTCCTCTGAGCCAACCTCGTTCATCAGCCCCATGTTGCTGCAGTGGAGAAGTTCGGCCATGAGTTCGCACGTCTTAAATCGATCGAAACCCAAAGGCTGAAGCTTCTCTCCAAACGTCGAACTCATGTGCTTCTTCTGGGCGGGCGCGTTCATGATGAGGTTCATAAAATCGGGCACATGGTCGGCAAAAAGACGGAGAAGCGTGCCCAAGTAAATGGGGTCACGACACGAGGGGTGGAGCCCTCATCCGCGCCCACGTCAGGATCATAGTCGGAGTTGTTCTTCCTAATAACCTCGATTACGATTCCGACACCGACGGTCAGGGATTGCCGCCCGTCAGCATATATTTTATAAGCTGTTGAACGCATGGGCGAGAAACAAGCTGCCGAGTGAGTTCATTAGGCCCAATGCATTGCTGTTCATTCTGAGAGGCGTTGGCGGATATGGTGATGATGGCCTTGATGAAGTCTCCCGCTGCGGTCTGAACGACCCAATTTCGGTCGGGGAAAGGCAAGAGAGAAGGATCGGAACGACATCTTGAGAGTAAAGCCACTACAATAGTAAAGGAAAAGTAGAGCTAAGTTAGCAATTTGGTACGTTCGTAATCACTAGTGAATTCAACAGAAGAACAGCACTCCCAAGGCTTGGACATTCGACCATCACTGCGATGCGAGTATAGATGTCTCCTTACCCAAGCCCGTACGTTGGGGAGGCAGACTAGAGCGCATATAAAGAACGGAGGGTCAGGGAGGGCGGTAGGAAACTAACCTCGACAATGCCGTGGCCGCCTTCGGTCCTATCGAGGGCGATCACTTTCAAAAGCAGGTCCATGATCATGGGGCATTCCACATGGCTTAGGAGGTCTGAGACGGCGTTGGGGAAGCTCTTGAGCAGTTCGATCATCTCCTCTGTCTTTTTCTCGAAGAGAGCCTCATTCACTTTGGTAAAATACGATGCCTGCAAAGGATCAAGCGGGGAGGGGCGCTTCAGAAATTGCCAGAAGTTGCGAATCAGGCCGCCATTTTCCATCAGGGCTTCGTAGATAGACCAAGTGTCTGAAGCAAGCACCTCGGAGGCGACATAGGCGTATCGATTGCGCTTCTTCTCGCCATCATCATCGCCAACATCGCTCATCGCCCTAGATGACGCGCGCGAGCGCGTGAAAGGGAAGGGGGTAGATGGGGCCTTTTCATTGTCTGACGCATCGTCCTTCTCCGAAGCGAGGACAGGTTCAAGTTTAGGGGCAACCACGTAGTGAAGGAGCTGTTCTAAGACTGGCTCGTCGCGCAGATATTCGATGAGCTTTGCATTGTGTTGCTTAATCTCGTGGAGAAGCTCGCCTTCGTCCAGTAGATTCTCGAGGGTAAAGTCAGCCTTCTCGAGGAGGGTATCGATAGTGGAGATGTTGGCGTAGCCGCCAAATCTCCAAAACATGGTGGCGGACTAAAATTCGCGTGCTTTGCGGGAAATTTCAACGGATCGGTTCAAGGGTGCCCTTTATGTCACGGCTCTGGACGAGCTGGACAGGCGCTGGGGGCTATGTTGAGAATGGCAGCCTTTTGAGAGAAGTTTGGCGTCAAATGGCGCGTCCAGCATTCGAAATCAGGACAAGTGAAAGTGTCGGGATGATCACTTGTCGAAGAGTTTCGTCGCGAGATGAAGAATGATCGTCAAGGACGCGGTTGTTTTCTGCTTCGGGCAAGTTCGATTACCGGAAAAGCGACACGGGCAAAGAGGATTTTTCGAGTTTCGCAGCCTGGGGGGCCCTGGGCACGGGCACAAGGGTAAATGCACGAGATGGTGGTGGGTCACACCCAAGCCAGCGCAGAGACAGCGAAACAATCGAAAAAAGAAAGCAAGAAGAAGAAAAATGGGAAAAGAGAACAGAAAATTACTGCGGTAGGAATGCAAGGGTGCAGTGGAGGTAGCCGCAAGAGGCGAGAATCAGGGGCAGAGAACGACAATGAAGGGAAGAAAACCCCGAGGTTCAGGAGAAGAGGAATAATTAAAGTCGGAATGCCTGGGGCGTCAAATGGATGTGGTGATGATTTGCAGGTTTTCGGGTTGACGTTGGGCTGAGAGGAGCCAGCAGGAGCATCAGCGAGCACACCCACTCAACCAGGCAACGGCAGAAGATGTTGGAAGGCAGAAGACGCAGCCAGCGCTGTTGAGAGCTGCACTTCAGACCTTGCGGGTGGAGTGGCCAATCCAATGGTGCATCAATTGCTGCCGCTGGCGAAGGAATCTACTCCGGACGTGCAGCTGAGCCAGTCGAGATGTCGAAAACCCGCAACCACTGGGAGTGCTCTTACGGCAAGCGTCAATTCAAGGTACCATTGATTGATTGAACTGACTGGATTGATTGATCTCATCAATTGGTGCTGGAACCAGGTTCGGAGGGCCTAGCTTTGGGGGAAATGCCCAGCAGTCTTCAGAGGGATAGCGAAACGAGGCTGTCATCCAGAGTCCTAGATTCGTATCGGCACTGTATTTACATCACAAGATGCAAGATCAAACTGCCACTTCAAACCGAGCCACGAACGCGTTTGGAGAGTCATGAATTTCAAGTGCTCAGTGATCAGGTGGACCTGGTGTGTTTGTCTGAATACCGTGCAGGTTGTAATATATACTGTAGGCGCCACAGGACAAAGACGGGAACATCACACAGGCCCGGTACCACGTGCCAAGTGCCTTTCCTCCAATTCTCGCGCTAAAAGTACACAAATCGACTTGTACACGTGGATGCCAAAGGTTTTGAAACGGTGGGAGCGAAAAAGGAGTGTTGAATGTGACTCTGCCAAAAGCTCTCTCCCACAACCCCTAGCTATTTTCGGCTGGCCTAGGCCATTCTTTTCTGTCTTTACTTTTTTTTTTTCTTGTGTTTCTGTTTCGCTGTTCCCCAGCGAGAAAATTCCCGAGGCACGTCCGTCATCTTGAAATTGGCCTTCTTGTTCCCCAAGTAGGAAAGCACGTCAGTGCCCCCAACTACGCTAGCGCGAGGAACGATAATGCCCTCGCCCCTCATCCCGCATCTTGTTGAGGCGTCGTCTTTTGATAGATAGTCCCTCCACTTGTCGCAAATATCCTTGCAAATAAGAGGGGCAAGTGCTCAACTACTGGCTAGAAACAACTTGAAGATTGGCAAGCGCAACCGGCTGTGGATATGTTGGCAGCAAGTTGCTTTGGGGGCGACTTCCCAGCAGTGATCACACAAGTGTACTATGTACTATTTTCTCACTACATTTTGTATTCATGATGAAGTCGACAGGACCTAGCTCACCCATGCTTCCATTGCCCTCCCTTGCAGACTCCCTAAGGCAGCAGAGCAGCATAGCATGTAGTGAGAGACAGTTGACAGAAAGGGCAGATCCCGACATGCTCTTTCCAGTTGAGAAACTTACTTTAACATTCTAGGAGGGAAGGTGGAGGGTTGGCGTCTCCGAGTCCCAACTCAGGCCTCCAAATGAAGAGGGCATTACAAAGTTGTTGACCGAGAACTGGAAGGAACCAAGCAGCAGCTTCACAGGCTCGACGCCCTCCTCCTCAAATATCACAAAGGGTAGCCTCGGAATCAGCCTCACCCCCATTTGTCTTGGATAGAGGCTTGGGCTGGCGCATGTTCGGTGGGAGAACTCCCATTTCTTCAGTCTTCGCTTTGTCTCGGGAGACGTCGATCAGTCTCCCGTTGATTTGGCTGATCGGGAACACCCCTCACCTTGCCAGACAGGTCTCCTGCTACTCTTTCCTCCAATTATTACAATATTACTTAACGCTCCCCTTCTTCCCCTCGACATTGCACATGCCAAAATGCCGAGAGTGACCCCCTTTTCAAGAAGCCAATCCGGGCTGGTCCATCTTTGCAGAAGTGGCGTCTTATCCCACGCGCCAATGACTCAGAATCCGATTAGATCCATAGATGTGTCTCCTTCCTCCCCCACGTCCCCAACCCGCCTCGCGCCAGCATGACGCTACTGGCTCGCCTCGACCAAAGTCTGCCGGCCAAAAAGGCGGTTAGGGCTAAGCGTTTCCCGCCGAGTCGTGAGACAGCCGCTTTCTCGCGGGAATAACCACCGATTCCCCAGTCCAGTCACGCACATGGACACGTAACGTCAAGGACTCTCTCTCGCGCCAGGCCGATCCAGTAAGGTACATGGAATCGCTTGGCTTGTTGGTGATTCTTTTGGACACCAGGATATGTAGACTCGATTTGGGTTTTCTTCTTTTTTTCTCTTCAGCAATGGCATTAATATATTAGAATAAGGAACCTAGCAGTTCCCTGCCTCAACGCAGGGATATAATCGGCCAACTCTACAAGGATGATGCAGAGAATACAATGAACGAGCAGAAAAGAGAAGCAGCAAACTAAACATGATCTATCAACGAAGCATCAAATCCTCTTCGTATCTTCCCCACCCAAGCAACGTCGACATGAAGAATGGTAGGGGTTATAAAAATTGGCTAGCCACAGATTGATCATCCTATCTTTCCACTCTACCCCGGGTTAGCCTCCTACTCCTCATCGACTGGCGCCTCCACAGCGCCGTTGAAGGCAAGCCTATTAGGGCTGCCAGTGCCGGGAGACTGGACAACGTCGGGGTGGAGAGCTCGACGATCCTGGCGGCAACGTCACCAGGGGCGGTCAAACCCTCGTAAGCCTTGAGGTAAAGGGAGAGGCCGGCGACATGGGGGCAGGCCATTGAAGTACCCGAGATGGTGTTGGTAGCGGTGGTCGAGCCGATCCACGAGCTAAGAACATTGACACCTGGGGCGAAGACGTCGACAAGCGTACCGTAATTGCTGAAGCCGGGCTTAACGTTGCCAACATCGACGGCACCGACTGTGACGGCATTGGGGGCAGAGGCAGGTGAATAGTAGACGGCGTCGTCGTAGGAATTGCCGGCAGCGACGACAGTCAGGACACCTTGCTGGTAAGCAGCCTCGACGGCAGCGTTGAAAGCCTCGGACTTGGGCCCTCAAGAGACATGCTGATGACGGCAACGTCGGCGCGTCCAGGAGTGGCGGTGATGTTGGTCACAGCCCACTCATATCCGTCGAGGACGATATCCGTGGTGGACTAAGTAGCATCATAAATATTAGAACCTTCTGCTGCAATTCGGAACAAGATATACTTGCAAGGGGAAACCTACCGATCCGGTGTCAAAGACCTTGACGGAGATGACGCTGGCCTTCTTGGCTACACCGTAGTCTTTGCCCGCGATGGTGCCGGCGCAGTGAGTTCCGTGGCCGTGACGGTCCTCGAAGGGAACGTTGGGATAGGCGTTATACCCGAGGTGTCCACGGCCCTCAAAGGTCTCGTGCGCGGTGTTAAGACCGGTGTCGATGACATAGGCCCAGGTGCCCTCGCCGGCCGAGGTATCGTACACGTAGGTGCTATGGTTGGCGGTCTGGTGAGAAATGCTGCCAAGTCCCCAGGGGGCGTTGAACTGGCGCGTGAGAGAGTAGAGCTCCCATACGGCTACGGGCTCGACGGAGAGGACCTAATCGCACAATTTTGTTAATGCTACTCGGTCACGGGGTGGAGGGTCCTCTATGGTAGAGGTTTCCGGAATTGCGCCGGCAAAACATACCTCTTCGCTGGCCTGGATCTCCTGGATGGTAGCGGCATCAAACTCGCCCGAGTATCCCTTGAAGCTGGCGCTCCACACCTTGTCCACACCTCCCGAAGCCTCGCTATCACGGCGGGATAGGCTCCGACGGTGGACGTTTTCAACCCAAGACAGGTGGCTGTCGACCTGGGGCTGAACAAGATTGTTCCTCAGGGTAACGATGTACTTGTTGGGCACAACCTGGGGGCTCACTCCGCGCGGCGATGCGGGCGCAGCAAGAGCTCCGGAGAGTAAGGCTCCGAGCAGGAGAGTGAGGGACTTGAGATGCATCATCTTCGCGATACAGGGTGGGGAAAGAAGGAGCTTCTTCAAAGTGGATATAGTTAGGGGAGCTGAGGAACTTGCGAGGACTGTTAAGCCAAGAGGGATATCGCGTGAGATGAGGAGATGGCCAAAGTGAGGTTGGAAGCCGGACATCGCCATCAACTTATATACTTGGATCGTCTTCATAGAATGCCATCTTTTCACCTCAGAAATAAAGGGCAACGTTCCTTTTCACTAGCAATCTCATCTTTCCAGAAGTTGGACAACATGGCGTGCTTCCCTCGCCTCATACCATCAACAAGTCCCTCTCCTTCATCTTCGTTCGACCAGCTTCCGTTTCTGGAAGGATGCCACCATGGGATTCCTTTGACGAATCCCCACATGTTGTTCATCGATATAGCTTGCGCCCTGGTTAGTCCCCCTTCATGGTGCCTCAGCCTGGTTGGTCGCGTACCGTTTGAAAGGGAGATGGTGGCGTGTGCTTGTTCCCATATCTACATTCTACAAGCGTGGGTGTGCATGTGTGCGTGCGTTTCTTCTCGGTTCGAGGCAACAGTGCAGGTGAGCGAGGCCTGAGCTGCGGATGCCTTGTCGTCTTGCCCTTTTAAGACATCAGAGGTTTGTTCTTAGGAAGACTAGAAGCAAAAGTCAGGGACGGGGAAGGGGGAGGGGTGAAGCACTTGCGGTGACTTGCCATGAGGTAAGCAAGCCGCTGCTGCAGAGCGCCCCGAGCGCTGCAAAGGTTGTTCTTCTTTGGGGGCGAAGACAAGTAGAAAATCATGGGATACGTATATGGGAAGGGCGGGGGATAGCGAGGGGGAGGGGCGGTAAGGAGGGGTGGATGGGCCCTGGTGATGGGCAGGATGGCAGAACCGGGAAGGTGGAATATCAACGTCTTTCTGGGATTTGGGTGTGGCAAGTGTGCATCGGTTCGCGCGTGGCACGACCAAGTCAGGGATGAGGAAGCATACGCCACACACCATCTTATTTCCTCTTGATCCGAGGACGGCTGGGGAGGGTGTTGGGTTCTTGATAGCGCTGGATACCAGCCGAGCGGCGTGGGGTGGGCTTTGACCGGCCAACGTCAGGGAATGGGGAGGAGGTGGCAAGCGCTTGCGGCGCTCCGTGCCTTTGTGTCTAAGGCGTTCTGTGGCTGGAGGATGTCATGCGTGCCGTTACGCGATTCCATCACTCCGAGATGCACCCTCGCATAAAATGGACTATGAACCTAAGGGCAGTTTATCGGAGCCCGCAAAGAGAGAGAGAGAAACGGGGAGAGGGACACAAAGAAGTGAGGGAGAGGCTTCGTGTGAGTCCAAGCCATCCCGATCTAAGATCGGGCAAAGCCACAAGAAGGCAAGGCGAGCGTGGGGTTTCACTGGAGTCCCTTGCCCTCCCCTTCCCTGTCACCATCGAGTCCCGTGCTCTCCTAACAGGTTGGCAGCTCCATCTTCGCAAGGAAAGTGACATTTTCCTTCTTCTTCTTCTTTGCGCCGTCGGGGTTGCAAGCTCCATCATGACTAGGTCAAGGGGAACAAGTGGTGTGTCGGACCCTGATAAGGGGAAGAAAGATGGAGTGGGTTCTTGTGTGTGGGTGTGTGTGGGTGTGTGATGTCAGAGAAGAGCTGACTGTCGTTTGGCAAGCACATCTTGGCTATGAATCTATGAATCGTACATAAGGCACGTTGAGGCGAAGTACTTTATGGATGGCACAAAGTTCCAATATAGCTTAGCAAAGGACAGAAGGGGTATAGGCGATATCCATGTCGGTATGCCGGGTCCCCGTGGTTGCGTTCGCCGGAATTAGAAAGTGGGAGAGGACCGCAGGCCGGGTCGCGGGTGGGTTTGGCACTGACACTTGGTTATGTGGCATGTAGTCCAGCCAGGGGAGGGGCGAAAAGGAGGGAGTAGGTCGGGTTACATCTGTGCAGGTCGGAGACGGGCACTCGTTTTTCTTTCTTCTTTCCTATTTCCTCTGTGGAGGGGCACGCGACGGAAGTCATCCGCCATACGCAAGATAGCGGGACCAGGTCTGACCTCTCGAGGTACCATAATAAGTGGCTACCAGGAGCAGAGGGATCAAGCCATGGATATCTAGGACGGTACAAAACCACACGGGTTGGGCACCATGTCAGGGTGGTGCCGGGTCGGGCTGGCCTCCTACAACATACCTACGGCCTCGATGGCATCCGGGGTTAGCGAATCCACGGGCTGGATTACAACATTTGCGAGCCACCAGCTTGGGATATGCTCTGTTGGTAGATATGCGCGACCCGGCCTAATCGTCACGCAATGCTTCACAAACGCGGGAATTTTATCGGCGGTACTTTTTATTTCTTGATTTTTGGTCCTTCCTCTTCCTCTTCTTCTCCTTCACTCCCCTTGGCCTCACCTTGGCCTCACCAAAGCCCGTCCTCCTTACGACCTTACGAACGAAAGAGAAGCGGTAAGGGGCAAAGGAACAAGACCGAGAGAGTCTTTGAGATGTGGGGGCAGACCGAGGATTCGAGACGACGAGATGGTGGAAATCGGATCGAGCCGAAAGCAAGTGCCGCGGAAGATTAATTACAGGCAGAGCGATCCAGAAAACACACGAGTTGTGTATTTGGGATGGGGCGGCCGCGACGAGAAGATGGAAAAGAAATAAGTGTCCGCTGCAAGACCGGTAGTTGGGCCTCGCTTGTGCGGACAGAAAGTAATGGCGACTGCACTCTTTTTCTCGCTTCTTCCCTCCCCCATCTTCTGCTCCCGCTTCCTTGTTCACGAACGTTGTTTATCTCTAACCCCTCGCCCTTCCTCCTAGGATCCCCAACCTACTCCTTCGCCCAGAGAAGATCATGCTATTCTTCATTCTTCCTCTTTCGCGCCCTCCAGCCACACGCACGCACATGCGTAAGAGTCGGCATTTGAAATCATCCTCGGAGCGAGCTGTAGGATCCAAGGGTGGTGGGCGTCTTCATCTAAACATGCAGCCCATCGTGACGAGGGAAGAGAAATATGAACAAGGCAAACGCGATGGGATAAGCCCAGCTGTCCCATTTATTCATGGCCTTGCGCCCCTCCCGTCCGAGGAACTCGACCATTGCGTGTGCATAAAACGCAGATATCAGAGGGTCAAAGATGCGCGGATCCTATTTTATATTACCTCCCACACCCTAGACCTGGTTTGTTGGCAGTCTGCTGGTTGAGGCTGGAGAGGCAAGAAAGATAAAAAGACAAGGAGAGAGGACCAGAACTTTGGTCATCTGAAGGAGCAATGACGTTTCGAGGGAATCGAGGGAAGACAGCATGACCTAGTTGTTTCATTCCTCTGTTGCGTGCTTCAACAAGTGCCACCTCGCGATTTTTTTTTTTTTTTGCCTCTCTGATAGTCTCCATCATCACCCGCCCAAGCCTTGCTTATCTTTTTCTATATACTCTAATTACTTGGGGCCTTAAGGGAAAAGGGGATTATAATGGAAGGAGGCAACAAAAAATATCGCGTCATGGTGAAGGCTCATTCGCATCGGAAATCCTTTCGATGCCGGGCTCGTCGCCGCCAAAATCACGGCCGTTCTAACAAAGCGTCGCAATGAAAAGAAGCCAACATGACCACCTTCCCGAAAGATAAGAATGTGGCCTGCGCCGGGACCGGGATGAGCACAGGGGAAGAAAACCACATCCATTTAGAAAACCCACAGAACGGGGTCTCGGTTTGCTATTGGTTATTGTGCGCATCGCCTGCTTGGGTCTACACCAATTTTCCGTTTCTTCAGAATCGACCGACGAGAGCGACGCTCTGTCCTAGTGTAGGCGCCAAGTCCTTCACAGCCGATACCCCACCGTGCCACCTGCGCCCGGAGAGACGTGAGTGCGGGTCATATAATATCAGAGGTCGATTGAAGTGCAAGAGAGCTGTGACACCAACCCTCACTTCCGTCCCCTCTGTTCCTCAGCATTGACCGCGATAGCAACCATCAATACCATGGCTGGCCAGGCCCTTTGGCGACGGAAGAGGCGAAGCGAGAGCAGCCCTGCGTTTATGAAGAGGTACGTGCTCTGTTTTGACGATCGCGGGGGCTCAGAGATGCTGGCGGAACCAAGCGAGCGGCACGGGCGGGGTCCTCTTCACGATATTAGGTAGCAAGCTCTTGGCGAGAGGACTTGAGATCGGGCGCCTAGAGGAGGCACGGAACAAAAAAGGACGAACACGTCCGCGGAACGGAGAGCATGTCTCTTGGCCGCTCCTAGAATCGGGGATCCTCACAGTCCTCGTGAGGTGGAAAGGCTTCCGGGTGATGTTGATCCGAACCTTTCAAAAGAGCAGCCGGCTTTGTTCTTCTCAAGGCAAAAGTTCCAATCTTCCATCTTCTTCCCGTTGGGCAACATACCAAGTTCCCTGCTCCCTTTTCTTCTCTGTTAGGTGAGTCTGCCTATCATATTCTCTTTTGTCGAAACCAGGCCACCGCCCGGTACCGTACCCTCTCCCTCGCCCAAAAGTCGACACGGGAAGTGATGCGATCGAGCGGGCCCGATCCGACGCCGCTCATTTCTTATCCGTGGTGAAAACTTGTTATCCAATGTAGTAAAGTCTAGGCGGTCGTGCTGCCTCTCACCTATCTCGAATAAAATTGAGTAATCTATGTAAATCTCTTGCCTCAAGATGCCATCCGGGCCAGGAGTCTTGAGACTACAATGATGTTGGATTTGGGCAACTACCAAGGGGCCTACCTTCCTCCAACTTGTTTCGGTGAACACCCTCATGTGACTTGACGCGGCGCTCCCTCGATGCACAGCAACAGAAGGCGCAAAGGAACCGCCTCACATCTTACGTGGGGGCGCCCAAGTCCTGCAAAGGGAAAGAGCAGCTCTCTGGCCTGGGTTTTTCATTCTCACCATCCAGCCAAACCTTACCCTCTCGATTTCATGTTCCCCATTGATCTTTCATCCGCAGCGTTCCATCACCGATTAACTGGCCGAGATAGCAGAGCCTGGGCCGGGGCCTAAATCGGTACGGCTCGGAGCAGCTGAGGGCCATTTGTGAAGGGGATAGGTCTGGTTGATGCCATCGACCCAAAAGATCTCAAAATGCCACTGAGAGAGCATCGTCCAATCACCCTTCCCCTCCTCCCCCTCCCTTTCCTCTCTGGCCGCAAGGGACCTACCTAGTTAAGCTAGGCCCTTTCGACCTCGCGACCACTCTTTTTGTCCTGTTCGTCTTGCTCAGGCCACACATCATTGCGTATGCATTCTTCGTCGAATTTCCAATCTCGCTTCTGTCCCCTCTTACTGACCCGGTCGCATGAGACTGCATCAGCGTTCAACCAGCCCAGCGCCTGCTCTCAACGTTACATGTCTCTTGCTACTTACACTCTTTCTTCCCTTTGGTCAAACTTCATGAAGTCTCAATCCTATCCACTTACTCTTCCAAAACCAGTCCTTCTTCAAGCTTGTTGCTATCTACCTCTAGGTTTTTTTTTAATTGATTAAAATATCACTTTGAGAGAGAACTACGACCCTTGTTGAAATCCAACAAACACGTACAACACCTCTGCTTCCTTCCTCGGATTTATCCCCATTGTTCAAAGACGGCAGGTCTTCACAATTCAAAAGTAAAGCTTTACAAGGAATCTGAGAAGCAAACGGTTTACCCCATGATATAATAATATTGATTGAGTTTAAAGACCCCGAATTTTTCCAAGGACCGAGCTATAAATAAGCCATTGTCTACACACAAAAAGAAGTAGAAGAAGAAGAATAAAAAGGACATGAAAAAGAAATCTCGAAAGAGAGAGAGAGAGAGAGAGAGAGAGAAAGCAGGACTACAAATAAGAGGTAGCGCCTTTTCTAGCCTAAAAGGTTGGTGGTACCCTCATCTCCGTCGGGGAGTGGTTGGCCACAAGTTTAAATGTTCTCAGCGACCCCGTTGACGACAATGCCCTACTCCTCCGCGCCGCTTGATACGAGCTAATGCTCGCGTTGCGACTATGCATGTGCTCTCCTCCGCTCGCCCCGCCCGGTACGGGAGACAGCGCCGGGCTGGTGGCTCCCCGCGACCTGAGGTTGAGTTTATTCACCATCACCTGGATAGCCGACCCCGAGTCGAGCGGCGGAGTGGTCGCGGGCGACGGCGGCATCATCATGCGGCTGGAAAGGCTGTAGCCGAGGTGCCCGCCGCTCCCACCGTCCGAGCTCCCCGTATTGCGGCGGTGCAGCGATGGCATACGCTGGCCCACCATTTCCTCGAGCACGCTGGGCATCTGCACGGGCATTCCCGACGACAGCGGACCGCTCCTCGACGGCGACCGGCTGGAGCCCCGGCTCGACGGCGGCGTCGTCACCCCGGGGACCCGGTGCTGCTGATTGGCCAAATTCTGCGCCTCCATCGTCGCCGCCATTTGCGAAAAGTTGAGCGGCATCGGCGGCATCTTGCTTAGTCGCCGCATCGCCTTCATGTTGCGGTCGATGAACTGCGACATGCGGTTGAGCGCCACCGAGTTCTCGTGCGACTCCATCGCCGATGTCCCGTGCGTCGGTTTCTGCGTGCGGAGCGTGTGCCTCTCGTTGAGCGGCACGTGGGCGCGTCCCGTGAGCGCCTGCCGCGGCGCGTCCTTGATTGTCTGCTGGATCTGGAACAGCACATTGTCAAACTCCACCGTCTTCTCCGCCGGCTTGTACGAGGGCTTGGCCCCATGATGGGGCTGTTGGTGAGCATGAAGAAGCTGCCGTCCCGGATGCGTCTCCGCACGAGGTTCCAGCGCGTCCGCGCCGGGTTGCGCTCAATTCCGGCTTGTAGATGGAGTGCTGCGCCAGCTTCGAGTAGTACACCTCGAGCCTCTTGGCCATGCGCTCGAGAATCTGCATGAGGAACGAGCAAAGGGCCGTGGTGCGCTGCTCGTCCGAAGAAACCTCGAGGTTCATGACGGTGTCGAACGCGTCCATGCCGTGGCACGCCTCCTCGCGGATGTCCTCGAGGAGCTCGATATCCAACTGCACAGACTTGCCCGCGTAGTCCATGATACCCCGCTCCTGGAAGCGCGCCGACTCGCTGTCGCAGATGAACTGGCCGACGAGCGCAATCTCCTTGGAGGTAGCCACGGCGTCAGGCGACGTCTTGGCTCGCGCGATGGCTCCCAGGATGTCGGGAAGCTTGGTGCCCGCGGCTCCCGACGAGTTCGCCACGGTGAAGGAGAGCTTAAGCACGAGCTCCTGGAACTTGGGTCCGAACAGGGCTGAGAACCCGCCCTGAAGGAGACGCGACTGGTACTGGTAAAAGATGCGCACACCGAGCATGTTGATCATCGTTCCCTGGTACCAGAGCTTGTCCGAGCCCATGAGGTCGTCCATTTCAAACTGCTGCGCCACGAGCGTCTCCACCGTCGTGCGCAGGTAGTCCGACCACATGTCGTACAAGCCGCTCAGCTCCTCGCAGCCGTGGTAATCGGGCTTGGGCGTGAGGTGTCCCACAAAGTACTTGGTCAGCAGACTGGCAACCTCGGGGTTGTTGGTGTGCGCGAGGGCGTCAAACGACTTGCTGCAGTCCACACCGGCGTTGGACTTGATGATGAGTGTGCCGCCAGGGTGCATCGGGCAAAAGTCCGTCACGTCGTACACGCTGCCGTGTACGCTGAGCCAGATGCGCGATCCGGGCCTGTGGCCGGTGTGCACCGCCAGCTGCGAGAGCGGGATCGTGGCCAAGTTGCAAGGTAGGGGCTTGGGCGTCATGAACACGTCCAACATGATGCGGCGCTCCGCAAAGGCCGAGTTGATGATGAAGTCGGTATTGTCCATGGTCGCCGTGCGGTGGTTGTAGATGGCCTTGCGGATTCCCGTCATGACGGAATCGAAGACGGCCACGGAGCCGCAGATGTAGAGGTACCCGCCGAGGCCGCCCTGCTTCTTGGACATGACCAAGTCGCAAACGGTCGCACCCTGCTCAGCAATCAGAGCGTCGATGTAGCGGGGCTCCATCTTCTTCTCCACGAGGTCCCGGTGCGCGGGATCGTACGCAAGGCCGCGGCTGTCGCGCGAGAAGGCGAGGTGCACCTCCATGTAGCCGCCCGCAACGTATTGTCGGAGCTCGTCCTCGTAACAAAACTTTTCACGGTTCTGCACGCCGAGGTAGAGGATGTTGCGGCCCACGGTCTGGCCGATGCGGGCCTGCCAAAAGGACCGGAAGGGCGCAATACCGCTACCTCCAGCGAAGAAGGCGCACGGGGCGGCGCCGTCGAGGGGCAGCTGGAAGGTGAGGGGGCGGGACACGCCAACGAGCACCTCCTCGTCGCCGTTGAGAGAGTTCTCGGGCGAGTTGACGGGCGGGTTGAGGAAGCCGCTGCCGACACCGGTGCGCTTGATCTCGTGGCCATGGGAGAAAGTGGAGCAGAGATTGTACTCGGCGCGGGAGACGGTCAGGTCGACGCTGGAGGGAGAAGCTCCTCTGGGTAGTTGGAGATGGAGTAGGTTCGGGGCACCTCGACCTGGATGAGGTCGCTGAGCCAGAAGAGATCCGTCGTCAAGTCAAAGGCGCGATCCCAGATGCTGGGCGGGGTATCCTGCACGGCCGACTGGAGAAGGTCTCCGAGGGTGCCGCGGACGGGCCACTCGGTGGTGGCGAGGACCTGCAGGATGGTGTTGGAGGAGGCGCGGAGCATGGCGTGGATCTTGAGGACGAGATCCTTGGTGAGCGGGGCGAGGTGGCCGCGGCGGAGAATGTCCTTGACGGTCAGCTGGCGGATGGCGCCGGTCCTCTTGCCGTTGAGGTTGATGCCGTGGTTGACGCTGTCGAGGTGCTCCGCGAAGCGGCTCCACTTGCGGTCCATGGAGATGCGCGAGTCGAGCATGTTCTCGAGGCCGAGGGCAGCGGCCACCTTGGCGCACTCTTCCCACGAGTTCAGGGGCATGACGGCCAACCGATCTCCGGGCTGGAAGGTCACGCCGGTGTCGTGCAAGTCGAGGGTGACTTGAGCGAGGCCTCGCTGGGGGTCGGAATCGACAAACTGCCGGTTGAGGATCCTCGACTTGTAGCGGCACTCGGCAAAAGTGCCTCGCATCTCGTTGGGGTCGACGAGGTTGGTGCCTCGGAACGGCTCCAGGCGCTCCTTCATGGCGTCGGAGAATTGGCGGTGGACCTCTTCCCAGGGTCGTCCGGCCTGCTCGGCGGCGCCCGAGTTTCCGTTGGTCTCGGTACGACCCGTCTTGGAGGCGACTTCAAGGATGCCGAAGACCTTGTATCGGTGGGTGCCCATGAAACCTCGCTCGCCCGTGTAGGCCTCGATAATACCGTCCAAGACGCCCATGAGGCGGGGTCGCCCGACTCGACGACGAACTCGGGAATGCGATAGTGGTACTCGATGGCAGCGATAAAGGCCCTCAGGTTGGAAGGCAGCCAGGCGCGGAGGTGGAGACCCTCGTTGCCGAGGAAGGAGTCGTACTTTTGCGGCCGAGGAAGGCATCCATGAGGAGGTAGGGGAGAACTGGAGACCCGAGGCGGCGGGGCACCGCTTCGAGAGCGGGGCGGAGAACTTGCCCCAGCGCACCCACTCCATGGCGGATACGTAGTTGTCGCCGGAATTCGGGTTCGTGGAAATGGAGTGGAAGGCGTTGGGCATGCGCTCGAGGATCTCCTTGAGGCGGACCATTTCGCGGAGGAGGCCCTCGACGTTGCGGGTCATCACGGCCTCTTGGCAAGCGGCGATGGCATCGGGGCCATGCTGGAAGGAGGCTATTATCGGAAAAGATGTGTTAGTTCACCCAAATCCAAACGAAAAAAGTGCAATACAAATATTGGTCTGGTTTGTAAATTACCATCAGTGTCAGCGCAGCCCTTGAGGAAGGCAATTTCAGTACGCTCGCCAAACATGGGCCATCGGAGGTCGGTGTTGTCGAATCGGCCAACGTAGGGAACGGTCGAGGTGGGGTCCCGGACCTTGAGGTTGTACGTGGCCTGGTCGTAAAGGTGAGGTGGGGGATGGCGCGGCCCATGCGGCGGGAAATCTGCCAGTAGGGAGGCCAATCACCCTAGGGATACCAATGAGCTCGGGACCGAGGTCGTCGGCCATCTCGACCTGAGGGCGGGTCGAAACCTTGTTGATGCTGACGCCGTCGTAACCGTCGTTCTTCTCCTCGTACCGGTAGATGGAGCAGAGCATGCCGAGGGCGACGATGGCGGCCCACAAGGCACGGTCGGGGATGATGTCCTCGGTTCCCTCCACCAGGGGCATCGCGGCGATGGATTCTCGGACGCGGCCGCGGCCAACGCAGCCGGGCATCCTTTCGCAAAGGTCGGACCACACACGGCCGGGGAGTTGGCGAGGGCGCCGGCGGCTTCGTTGGCGTCCGGGGAAAGAAGCCGTACTCGGCGCTGAGGTACCCGTCCTTCCATCCTGTCCTGTGCCCAATCTCTTCGGCTCGAATCATGACTTGGCGGGCGGGGGCGCCGAGGGCGACGGCCAATAGGTCTCGGTCGTCGACGGTGAGGGAGTCGACATTTTTACTTGCGTGATGTAGTCTACGGATGGGATCTTGTTGTACACGATTTCGTTGATGGCCTTTCGTTCCCTATGCAACAAGTTAGGTTTTTCTACTTCCTTGAGGTTTTAATTTTGCGTCTTTTTTCTCTTGGGTGCGTGATGTTGAATATCGCATGTCTTGGGATGAAGGTAGGATATGGGTGGCACGGCAATCCGTGTGTGAAACAGATGTGTAAGTGAGGAGCTAAACCAACCTTGCCCTCAGGAACTCATCCACATCTACACCTCTGGGGATCTGTAGGCCTCTTGTTAGTCTCATCCTCTTCAGGATATCAAAAGATATTGTAAAAGAATCGCCACTTACATCAAACGCAGCGTGAAGGTCTCCGGCTTGGTGATATCCTGAGAAAGAACATCCTCGAGGACCAGTTCTCGTCCGGGAGGACGCTCTAGAACCGGCAGGGCAAACACCACCCGCACCACCAAACGATCCAGACACGGGGCAGGATCTCTCAGACATTATGAACAAGATTACACACACACACTGGGACTGTGATGTGTGAAAAAAGGAGGGGCTTGTTGGTTTGTAAAAAAGAAGTGGGAAAAAGATTCAAGGAACCTGTCCTAGAAGCGAAGAAGAGAAAGAACAACGCTTAGAAGGAAACAAGCCGCCTGGGCCACCGTACAAAAACAACGGCAAAAAAGGGCAAGAAAAGAAGCTCTCACAAAGGAGGGTTAATCACTTCGTGAAGAGAGAGGAAGAAAAGAAGCGTGGCCCTCGAGGCTACGGTGAGCTGGACAAAGGGGACATTAAGAGAGACCAGAGATCTAGACTGGGCACCAAAAGGGAGGGTGTGTGCATCGGACTTGGGACGTCTACCATCTATTAATATGAACTACTGCGTGGTTACGGTGATCAGAGGAGGGAGTGAGAGGGAGATCAAAGGGGGTGCACTCCCACCCTGGTCTGCCATCAAAATTTCCTGCGACGAGGTGGCACCGAACTTGCACGCGCGCAGACAAGGGAAGGGGGCCTAGACGACCTGGCCTCCGATGTCGAGATCAGACTTCGGTACTTGGGGCGGGGAGGGGAGGAGGAGGGACGGGCAGGAGGGAGAGCAGCATCAACAAGCTGAGATCGGGGATCCTAACACAAGGTGAAGGGCTAATAGAACGACATTCGACTTGAAGGTTACGCGCTTGCGGATCCGAAACACGGCGCTGTGGGTCCAGCGTGGTTGGGCCTTTGCCGTCATGGCACATGGAGCCTCAACTCAACTCAAAAAAAAAAGGAGAAGGGGGAGGGAGGGGATTGAACCACTTGTCAGTGTCCTCCGTCCCTTCGTTTCTGTGTCTCTTGAGAGGTGGGGCCTGAACTTCAGAGTCGAGACGGGGTGGAGAGTGTCGAGATCTTCCCCTTCATGGTACGATGCATGGGTGCGGCAAGGGGAGGTCTGGCTGGACCTGGCCAGAAGAGGTTAATGCCCGGTCGCGAGTCCGTGGAGAACGTCGCTGGCACGGACACGGCCAATCATCAATAGGCCGGGCCCTTGCTCTTGGCTCCTCAGATCCCTGTTGGCACTTGAGAGGTTTGGAAAGATCCTGAGACGTCGCCAAGGCGCTAAAATTTGGAGATTAACACTGCTGGACGCATGAACATACCCAAGAGAGAGAAGCTTTTCTTTTTCTTCCCTATCCCCCTTCCTTGTCATCATGTCTGCTGGCTGCCTTTTCATTGTTCCATGAGACGAGACGACAACTTTGACAGCCATAGACTTCTGCGAACGACTTCTCGTTGGCCATTATCCCTGTCGCTGCCTAGCTGCCCCACCCAACCTGGACAATAACATGCCATGGCGGGAAACGGGGAGGGAACTGGGATGGGGTTAGAGAACAAGAAAAGTATTCCCAAGCTTATTCAGATTGTCTCAAAACATGCTCGAACCCACCTGTGGGTATACTTGGAGTTGGTCGATGGGTAGTATTAGTGCGGGAAAGAACAGGAGGAATACCTTGGTCACGTCTTTTAACTTTGCACACCAAACCTCGATGAAGGCGGCTCTCGATGCATCCAAGGCGTACGTGCTGCTGTGCCTGTGGCGAGATGCAAGGCATGAGCACGGCCATAGTTTGGCGGCAGGTGGAGGTGGAGGTGGAGGTGGAGGTGGAGGTGATGGGCAGCCAGCGTTGCAGTGTTGAAATGATCAAGCCCGAGCTCATCACCACCTTAACGAGTGCCATTTTTCTCGTTGCATCTATCCACAGTGTAAGCCCGTCAAATGCTACGATGGCGAACTGGGAGCGGGAGAATCCCCGGCACTAGCCAAGCACAGTCTGGCCATTGCGATATTATCATTATCCATCCCTAGCCTATAGCTCAGAAGAGAAGAACCGGCAAGAAAAGTCAGATACCAACCAAAGGGGGCCGGTGGTCGACAACGTGAGGACTCGTTCTTCCCATTCTCCCAGCTCGATCGACATGCTTGGCGAGGATGGGAGAGGAGCGCCAAGAGCAAGGGTCGTTGGGTAAATAGTTGGGAGCAAGACAATTCTAGGCCCCAGAAAAAGGAGTCATAGTGAATAGTGTACAGCAGGAACGAGCCCAGGTGTTCTTTCCCAAAGTGTGTCGATAGCTGGGGCACATTATGTGTCAAGAAGGAGCTTTGGGTTCCAGTGTGCGGCCCTGCGGGAAGGAGCCAGCTTCAACGCCGGTGGGGAGTGGGGACAAGGAACGGGAGGGTTTACAAGAGGGAAAGAAGCTTTCGGCACTTCCAAGGTACATCTCCTGAAGAGTATTTTACCTGTATTAAAGACCCTCTTCGAGCAATGTTTACCGCCACTTTAAACGTGGACTGGGGACGGGCCTGCAGGTACACGGCAGGTATCCATCCATCCTCCATCACATCACGGGGACCCAGGAAAAGGATCCCATCAGCATGGATAGAGCTGGCTGCTTTTCTGCCAACAATCCATCAACTCGCGAATCTGCGGCAGTTTTACGATGACAGGACAGTTTCTCCTGTCAGGGAAAACAAGAAAAAGAAAACGGATAACAGGTCATCTCTCGTCGCGTCCAGGATAAAGCAACAAGCAAGGGAATCCTCCAAGACATAAGATGCCCTTCCCGCTCCCACGCTTTCGCTTTGGGAGAAGCCTCCGTGGACATGGCACGATTTTTGATGCCATTTCTTTCTATGCATGGATGGCTTCCGTGCACAACTCGACTGGGTTGACGCTCTGTACAGCCAGCGAGGTTAACCGCAAAGTCTAGAATGTCTTGTCCCCTCACTCCGTCTTGACAGGCATGGCGATGGCAGGAGTGCCCAGCGTTTGGTGAAGAGCCGCTGGCAGCTCTCAACTGCTGCACGGCTCTTCAAAGTGACGAAGTGAGTAGTCCCTCCACAATCCGGCCGGTGGGGACCGTGAAAGGGGCCTCTGCGGCTGCGGGTATGGCGTCCCAAACCCCCTTTCTTGTTCACTTTCTCCCTCCCTCCACCTCCACCGGCGTCTAAGCGATCACCGGTACTGCGGAGATCGTCAACCAGACTTCTTGACCCCCTCTGCTCTCTGCCTTAGGAAACCCCCGTCTTAGCGGCCGCTGGCAATACGTGTGTTGGCTATTACTTGAGAGGTAGATCAAGCTGCGGCGAGATAGATCGCCATCTTCTGGAATCTAATCGTCGGCAGATATATCGGGGAAGAGAGATAATGGTACGAAAATAGGCCAGACTCTTACCTACTATGTCGGTGAATCCGTGTAGGCTATTAAAAACCCCGCACAAGTCCAAAAGCCATCTCATTTTGCTTGATGGCCATCAGCCGATGTGGTCCTGTCCCCCGTTTCGAAAAAGAGGAAGAGAAGGAAGAAGAACAGAACGAATAGCACCACCTCTCCTTCCCCTTTTTTGTCACATCTCAAAAGATTCTGGGCTCCAGTCATGTTTGAGATATTGGTTTGGGACGCTCAAAGCAAGACAAGTCACAAGGCGAACAGCGGCGGCACAAGGAGAAGACTGGTGGCCAAAATCAACCTGGTCAGGGAATTGAACCCGTTCCTAATATTTTTCTTCATCCCCGAAGACGGCCTGCATCCGTGGGTATGGCTGGCCCAGGCCCTTGCGCTTAGTGAAGGGACAAGAGCATTGAGGCAAGGGGAGCACAACAGGGGTTTGAAGGCTTGATGCATTTACACTACTCAAGGAGCTTGGGGCTGCATTTGAGGAAGGGGTCATTTTCTTGGTTGTTGGGATATTTTCCTCCTGCTTCGCTGATTTTTTATGACGTCCTGGTATTGTTATGCTCCAACACCTTGTAGGTATTGTACTCCTGAAATCTCTCCGGGTGGGTGGCCGCATGAGGACTGGTATCGGCGTATCGCCTTGTTCCAAACACTCCCTTGTTGCCAAGCGCAAGGGTTCTGAAGCCAAGTCTGCGATCACCACAGGCGTGCTGGCTTCCCAGACCCACGATCCCGTAACAATGGCGGCTCGTGCTTGCAGTGGCGCGTAGATCAGGGGCTGTTGCATCCCGATGTGCTCATAACCCCATTTCCCTCGCTGCTTAATATTCTTAACTGCATCATAATTTTGCACCGTCTTCGATCGAACGTTCTGGAGAGAGAAGAGTGGTTGCCTCTGCCTCAAGGACCCTGTTGTCTGCCACCTGGGCCCGATGGCGCAAGAGGCGTCTACTTGTATGTCTTACCACTTGGCTCTAGATTTCGATTCCTGCGATGGAAGCAGGGAACCAAAGGGAAGGACATCCTTCTTCGCCGTCCGTGGAGGAATACACCGTTGATCCAAGTCCCCCTTTCCCCAGTATCGGGCTTAATGCGGAGGCCAGGCCGTGTGGTGTGGTCCCAAGCCTGATCGCCAGCACCCAAGATCACCGGCCGGTGTGGGGAGCGGGCGGTCTGGTCTGCTGCTTGCCTCACGATTCTTCTGCCCAGAAACTGCTCGCGCAGAGGCCCTGAGAGAAGAAAGTTGAAAAAGATTGATTACGCGTCCAGGCTCCGTGCCCTCTGACCCATTGCCCGTTGGATGTTGGAGAGCGGGCGGGTTCTGGGAGACGTCGATCGTGGGCTGTTCGGACTCACAGACGGTCCAGGCTAATAGGGCGGATACAGTGCTACGGCCGTAGAGATTATACTGTTCCATTAAGCAAAAAAATGTGAACATCAATGATGGCGCACAGGGGCATGTTTCATCATGGGCTGAGACAGTCAAGGACGAAAACACTTTTCTTCTTCTTCTTTTATTTGCCCCCATTAGGAGAGGAGGGTGCTTCTCCTTTTGGAAAGAAAACCCCTCCGGAAATGCCGCCTTAGGGAGATCACTGTGCCACCGGTGGTAGGTTGGGATTGAGGTTAAAACAAAAGCGGCTCATCGCACCATTCAAAGTTGGGATTGCTGCTCTCGACCAAGAGGTCGGACGTTGTTCAGGCACATCATCTGACGACGGGCGCGAAAAGAAGGCCATTTGATGTTGTAGGAGAGTAGGGAGATATAAACCAAAAGGAGG